TGCCAGGGCTCCAGCTTTGGTAATTGCTGTTCTTCATATGGGCTATTAGAGTGAGTTTTGGCGGACTTTTCTTCGTTTGTGTGAAGGGTTGGTGTCTGACATGCTCCAGTGGCTCGACTTCCGCCTATTGTGGTACCGGTTGCAATTCGAAATTTGGAAGCTGTGCTAGGGTACAGACTACATCGTCAACACGTCCGGCTTCTACCAAGGCATCGTCTTCATCATCTGCTGCTAGGCCTGCGTCCACAGGCAAGGTTTCTACAAATGCTCGTTGTGGGTACATGTATGGTGCGACGGAGGGGTTTAGCTGTCAAGGATCCAAGTTTGGTGATTGTTGTTCCGAGTATGTACTCGCCATACATACGGGAGAAGTTTACACGCTGACACGTCCTCCTATAGATACAGCTACTGCGGGTCTGACCCAGCGTACTGCGGTGCTAAATGCCAGCCTGGATTTGGTCGCTGTACTTCCCCACAGTCGTCTTCTAGTGTTCGATCGTTCTCGACTCTACCGCCGTCATCTACAATGCGAATGCCTAGCCCAAGAACCACTCTGTCATCTTGTGTATTATCGTCCACGGTTCGGTCATCAATGGTTTCGTCTTCTTCTGCGTCTGTCCAACCGTCCGCAGCGTCCACATCTAGCTCTCTATCCTCAGTGGTCCTGTCAACGCCACTGAACACTGTTCAACCCAGCGCTTCTTCTCCAGCACCCTCAAGTCTTAGCTTGATGTCCACTTCGAGCATTGCTGAACCATTGACGCCGATCGCTTCTTCCAATTCAGCCAGCTCATCTGCGACTTCGTCAGTTCAACAGATCTCTTCGTCCCCATCGCCGTCGCAGTCGCCGTCGTCAATCACACCAACCCTCGATATACCTTCAACGACACCCACTGCTTTGAGTTACTCCAGCAGTTCCAGCGATTCGTCATCAAGCGTCTCTGAAAGCATCACAGTTTCGACTGAGACTCTTTCGAGTTCATCTACGCCAATTTCAACGTCCACAGAAAGTTCAAGCACACCCATGGTGTCCTCATCGCCATCTCCTCAATCGCTTGAGCCGTCATCGACTTTGACTGAGTCCTTGGATCCGACGACTTCGAGCTCTGAGATTACTCAGACGTCATCTGATGTTTCAAGTACACCAACACCGTCGGCTGTCATCACATCCAGCAGTGTCGATGTTGTTAGCTTTACCTCTGAAACGATGCAGATTTCATCAGATCTTTCAAGCACGCCGACATCGTCTGTTGTCATCATGTCTAGCACTGTCGATCCTGTTAGATCCACGCCTGAAATTACTCAAACTTCAAGCACACCGACACCGTCGGCTGTCATCACATCTAGCACTGTCGACCCTGTTAGCTTTAGCTTGGCCGAAAGCTCACCTGCAAGCTCAGAAGACATTACAAGTACAGCCAGCATTGTTGTATCGACGTCCATCTCAGTCTCGGATAACCCCTCGGAGGTTCCTACTTCGTCAGTTGATATGGTGTCGTTCACGTCTATTTCCATCATTGAGAGCACGAGCCTAGAACCTAGCAGCATGGAAATAATGCCGAGCTCAAGCCAAACATCTAGCAGTGTGGAAATAGTGCCCAGCTCAACACCAGAGCCTTCACAAACTCTGTCATCAAGCTCGGATACGGCTACCATGACGTCTTCTTCGGTGGTTGAAACAACCCCGATCGCTACGACTTCGACCGTAGGAGTTTCCAGTTCCACAATCTCTGATTCATCAACTCTACCAGCAAGTTCGGATCCAGCTACCACGTCTTCTTCTGTGGTTGAAACTTCATCAACCGTGTCATCATCTACGATTGAAGTTTCCAGTTCCACACCATTTGTGGCGTCATCGACATCGTCTTCAGCAGTTCCAGTACCTACCCCTTTCACTCCTAGCCTGATTACCAACGGTGGCTTTGAAGATCCCAGTGCTGCACCTCCTCGCGGCGGTGCTGGCAGTACGGTCGTTCTCCGAGAATCCACTCCAGAACTACCAGCTTACGCAGGAACGCGTTATCTCGAATTCAACATGGCCCAGACATCAGTAACTGCGTCTCGTTCCATCAGCTTAGTGTTCCCCAACATTGCAGGCGTCCAGGGAACGACTTACCGCGTTTCAGTCACCGTCCGAAGCCAAACCGGTATGCTATCTCCTCAATGCTACGTGCATTTCGCTTTTGGAGTGAACATTATCCCGGTTTCATATTTCACTGGAGGCAGTGCATGGGAGGAGGTATCTACCAATTTCCGCTGGAACTTTGGAACTGGACAAGCTACGCCGATTATGCTTTTCAATTGCCCTGGAAACGCGGCCTACTCGTTTGGAGTAGACAATGTACAGGTTTTGGAAATTGCCGATCCACCCGCCACTCCTGAAGCTCTGCCTACACCTTTCCGGTATGTACCATCATATGACCCGAATCTCCTGTTAATTGAAGCTATATACTAACATATATCTCAACAGCAATGCACCACCCCAGAACATCCCTTCCGTCGGCGCCACCTGTGGTCAAGCTATCCAAGAACCAAGCTTCGAACTTTTCCCCGCCGCAACACCCAATGTTCAGTCACCCTGGGAGTTTGTGGGTTCCCGATACGCCCTCCCGTACGTCTATACCAGCGGTGTCGAGGCCAAGCGCACCGGAACAAGGGCCTTACGCGTGACCGTCAACGCCCTTTCGAGCGGCTACACAGCATCCATGGAATTCCGGCAACGAAACGTCGTCGTCTGTCCCAACACGCTCTACGAGTTCAAGTCGTGGAATGTCCTCTTCACGGCCAATAGTCGGCTTACTTGCCAAGTGGGTTTGAAGGTTAATGGTGGGCTGGTTGCCATGGGTGATCGGTTTATCTATACTGCCAGTAGGGAGTTTGCGCCTACCTCTGGGTACTATTTGACTGGGTCATCTGAGATGATGGTTAACCTTGACCTTAAACTGTATTGTGTTGGTCCTACGGGTCTTTCGACGGTGAGTACGGTTTACTTTGATGATGTTACTTTTACTCCTGTGTCTTCTTTGTAGACATGGCATATTCTTGTAATTACTGTATAGTTCCATTCTGTTCCTTTGTACATTGGACACGTTGATCTTGAAGAATCTTGAGTGTCGCACAAGCCTTTGGTCTCACATCGGTCACGCTTCTTCCTTTCCGCTAGCAAATGACATGCGCAAGGCATTGTGACGTCGCACTCATATCTTCGCATCTCATCGTGAACAGGCAGCTCGCATGCGAGACATTTCGACATATCAATCTTTTGTGTTGAGGGGCCGATGACTTCATCTGTTGGCAGATGAGACGCGCGTCTAAGCTTTCGGGTGGTGCATCCGACGCCACAAGACATGGACCAGCCCACATTACCCTCAAAGTCCAAGACAACAACGTCCTTGTGCCAACTGCGATTGTATTTCCAAGCCAAGAATACGATTTAGCATGTAGCACAACCCAGCTCAGGCATGCGGATCGTACGACTTCTTACAACGCTTACCCCGCCCCACGCAACTCGCAAGCAAGCAGCAAGGATCAATTCATCTATCGCTCTGCAAGACCCCACATTCCACAGCTAAGCATATCGTTATGTCTTGAAAGAACACCAAGAGACGCAGGATCAAATAACAGTTGCGGTTACGGTTGCGATGTTATCATCAAGCAACGACTACAAGGGCAGGTGGCTACGCGCCAAGCCTGCGGAGATGATGATGCTAACCCAAGAAGGCAGTCGGATATGCCACGACGGGAGACGGCAGCGTCATAGCCTCCTGCGCAACTAACAACATGGATAATCGCGACTATAGTGTCAGTAGCCCCGTTGCTGGGAATGCAGGTACAAGTACCTTGTTGCCTGCCGTGGACCTCTTTCTTCTCTTCACTCCTCTCGCAACCTCTGGGAGTCACGACTGAAGATGTTGCGCCAAAAGTCATCGAGCGCGTCTGCAATGGCGTTTGGAAGCGCTATGCTTCAAATAACTTTGGCCGCTGTAGTCCCCCGCCAGAGCTCGCCTTCATCCCCTTTCGCGCCGATTGATCCTCAGAACTGGGTCAATCCGGACAACATGACCTGGGACGGTATGTCTCAGCCCTATGTTACTACGCCTGTCAGAGGCAGATTGCTAAGAAAAGCATAGATTATGTTGTGCCGCCAACAACAAACTGGGGAGATCCGTCGCGCAAAGGCCGAGACCGCAACTTCAACATTGCCATGGTCACGGTTGACTACCCAGACTCGCCCTTTGTAGTCACTCTACCCGCCAACTCGGATATCTTTGGTAACCCGCAACCGTTGGCCGCTGGCATGAAACGTGAGGATGTGCCCAAGTTCTACCACGACTTTCTCAATGTCCCCAACGATCTCAATCAAGGACACACGCTCCATGAATACTGGATGGGCGATTCGTTTGGGAAGTACGGTGTGGATCTGACCGTGTTTGGCCCATATCGCATGCCAGCGAAAAGTTACCAGTATGGCGTCGATGATGAGGAGGGTGGTTTCAACGAAGGCGCGTGTCCCCAAGGCCCGCCATGCTCAGTAGATCTTCGAACCGATGCACTTGGTGCATGGCGCGCTGAAGTTGGGAATGAGACTGCAGATGCGTATGAGCTGGCTTTTATTCTATCAGCTGGACAGGACGAGTCATCAACATGGCAGGAGTTTGGCGAGATGAAGTTTGCATCCAAAGAAGACGTTCCAGAGGCGTTTGGGCCGCCCGCCAACTCCTCGCTCCCAAATTGGGCCAAGACACGATACGTGGAGTGGTCTTCGTGGGCTTCAGCGTCGACTATTTGGCCCAACGCCGGAAGCGGTTCTTCAACCCAGGGCGAATCAAGTGGTCTGGCTACCTTTGCTCACGAATTGTCGCATCTTCTCGGCATCGGCGACAACTACAATAATCCGTTCAGTAATCCTGCCCGCCGTTCATACACGGGCCCATGGAGTATGCTTTCTCGGGGTAGCTTCAATGGACCCGGCGGACCTCATACACGCTGGCAGATTCCTCCGGTAAAGGGCGGGTCCATGGGCTCATTGCATTCGATGCGCGACAAGCATCAGATTGGCCTTATCGACTCCACACCTATCCTTCAGGTTTCTCGTGATGGACTCGCCGCTTCCGGTCCGGTCGTTGCGCAGATTACGGCTCGCTCCGTTGACCCTTTCGGCACCCTCATGGGTTTCAACATCTCTTTTGGCGCTGCGGGCGATCTCGCGCCGCCTTGCAACACCACCACCGATCCGCTGTGTGATGGCCGTGGATTCAACAACTACAACCTTGAGGTGATTGATCGCATGGGACCAGACTCCTTCTGCCCCGACTCCGGAGTCATGATCAGCAAGACAAAGGATAGCGACCGTGTCCAGCCTTTCCAGTGGACAATTGACGCCAACCCCCAGGACGCACGACAGATTGACTTTTACCTGCCCAACGGAACCGCGAGATACTGGACCATTGGCGATTACAGGCAATTGGCCGACGCGCTGTTCCATGCCGGCACAAACTCTGGCTCGCAGTACGAGTACATCGACGCGCCAAACGGCCTCCATTTCTACATCCTCGATACCATCCGCGATGACGCTGGCGTTCTGCACTACACCGTCGGTGTCGCATCGACCGCTACCAACGCCACCACTACCGCCAAACACGGCATCGAGCTTGGGTCCGGCAAGGTTGCAAACAGCTCCAGCACCGCCAGCGGCACGTACTGTACTTTCGAGCTCAAAAACACTGGTCAGGCCGCTATGCTAAGCACGAATCCCCATCCTCAGGATCTCTCTGCTTACCTTGGATCTGACATCTTCCGTCTGGAGGCAAAGGTTGAGGGCGAGGGCTGGAAGGTTGCGTTACCCAACGCATTGGCGTACGCTGGAGCGGGTAAACAGAAGAGTGTCAAGGTGGCTGTTGGTCATGGAAGTAGTGCGTCAAAGGAGGCTACTGTGACACTCACGGCCACGAGCGAGAGCGACAAGTCTGTGTCGCGTGTTAAGACGTGCAAAGTACGATTGTAGGGTTGATGGAGGAAAGTAAGATCAGTCCTTGCTTGAAACAAGCGACATATCTTTTCACACCTTACCTACAATTGAATAAGCGAGGTGGTAGAAGTTATTGTTACCTCGAGTTCCCATCATGCACGTGAAATGAATGCTGCAGTAATTCTTTCCAGACTGCGTCCCGTTTGATTCCTTGTGATTTTGATATTTTGCCTTGTACGTTTCTCTCAAGACAGATGAAGACGCCAGGGAGAAGATCATGTTCATACGTGGAAGAGGCTATCTGGATCCGACTGCGACATTATCGGACTGATTTTCCCGCAAGACGGATTACGCCGAGGTTTGCAAGGCTATAGAACGGATCATGTTCCTTGTTCTCCCGTCTAACATGATCGGCAGATCGTGTCCACAAGCATCTTCGCATTGCCTTATAAGATGAGATAGAGTTTCGTGACCATGTTAGCAATCGCATGTTAAACAATATCATGTGACATTAGTTAACATGCACATCGCGCACGGGTGTTTTCGTACATACCATGTAATCAGTCAAATTGGAGATTCATTGATCATGTGATTTGGACTGAGCTTTTTGACTTGGTTGCGTCCTGCTCAATCTTCACGTCGGAGGATGTCATCATAGTCATCAACGACAATCTGCTCGTGCACGGGATTTCCTGTCCGTCAGCACTCGATCAAAGGTCAATGAGTGGCATGATAAATTTCCAACAAGTGTTAGGTTTCGCATGGTCAGACCGTCTGACACGAGGCACCCTCAACATAAGAGCAAGTCTTCCGATCATGCCCCTGTCAGCTACGGTGTCATCCCCCAACCGTATGAGCCCGTCGGATGACAGACTGTCAGTTTTTGGAACCTGTCGCGAGCCTTTTCCCTGCTTCAATCCTCTTACCCGTAACTCAGACATCGCATTCCTACCCCTGCCAATCATCTGCCGCATCTCCAACATGCGTGCCTGTACTATCGCTCTCCTCTCTCTTTCCTTATTCGACACCTCCTTTGCAATGTGGTACTGTAAATCAGCCCCAAAAATGCCAGTATATGACGCGTCGCGCCTATAATCAAGCAATATACCAATACAGTTACTAGTACGGGACAGTGAACAAGATGCCGCCTTGAGAAAAACCGAGCTGGGTTAGTTGTAAAGAATCATGCAGCGTTATGCGTATGGGTACCTCCGAGAAGTTGCATTTAGCTGACGTTGGAGTAGTGCCCGAACTGGTCAGGCGAAGCTGCCTGCTTTAGCGCAATGTGGGCCTTTCCATGACGCTCTTTGTGATGAAGGTGGAGAAAATGTGCGTGAACTTGTTGTATTGGAGCTACGGGAGAAGGGAGAATATCTATGGTGCGCGCACGGAGCAGCTGACTAATCAGTGCCTGGCCAATCAGAGCACGGGAAGCCTGATTCACCGTGAATACTAGTGAAGGCTCTCACCGCGTCTCGACACTTTGTATCGCGCTTTTACTAAACCGACTACTAGAAATAATAAAGTGGAGACTAACAACGATTGCTTTTGCCCTCCGAAATATTAGTGTGGTAGTCGACAGCCCGAGGTTGCAAACGTGGCTTGAAATGCTGAACATAGCAGCAAAGCCTTGTCCCACACAAAGATTCTGGCCAAGTCACGTGAGCCTGCTTTGCATAGACAGCCAGCTACTGCCTATTACGCTAAGCTCCTCGACTTCGAGGTAAATAATACCGCGCAGAATTTTTCTTTCGCCAATGCTATAGGGAGCGGGGTCGCCAAGCAGCTTATCTCACGTCATCCCCAGGATTGTTGTTGGCGGGGAGATATCTTCACACCATGCTCTAGAGCGCTGTCAAACGGTGAGACCGCGGGAACTAGGGCTACAGGGAAGGAGTATTAAGCCGATAGAACTACCTACCGTGCCGAAGCAAAGATAGACTGTCATGCCGAAACTCAGCTTTCATGAGACACCCAACAGTGGAGATTATCCTAACGGGTTAAACTAGGTTCCTTATTCATTGTGTACTCGAGGAGCTCCTACTACAACCTACGTTATATAAACAACGACACTGCTGACCGGACCGAACACATTGACAGCCAAGGTTACGCGTGGTTCGGAATACTAGATAGGGAGGTTCCGCGAGCCTGGCGCCGCAAGTACCACTAAAACCATGCTTAATCATCATAAAAAACTCCGCCAGAGTTCTCTTCGTTTCTCCTCACATTCCCACTTTCTAATACATCGCAACCCTCACTCTCAACTTGCAACAAATATCACAACTACTACAACCATGAAGTTATTCTTCGCAATTCTCGCTACAACGCTTGCTATACTCCCAGGCTCGAATGCTCAGACTCCTCTCCCCTACTGTCCAAGACATCTGTGGCCAATGCTATGAAGCAGGACCTAAGGTCATTAGCTTTGTTTGTCCTACAGATACAAAGAATAAGTTGGAATGCTCTGTCACCTGTTTTGCGAATAATGTTCAAAGACAGGACAGGCTCTGCTGCGTACGTATTGTTGTTTCTAAAGCTCAATATTAGGTTATGCTAATATCCAGGTACAGAAGGTTGCGGCTTGCCCCTAAGCGCATACAGAACCTACACTATAGGTAGCGACGCTAAGCGTTGAAGGAGAGAGACCTTCACATCATGCTCTAGACCCTAGAGCGCTGTCCAGCAGTGAGACTACGGGAATTGAGGAGAAGGACTGTATGGGTTTGATTAGGCGTTTGCAGCATGTATACAGCCGATTTTCTGGTGATTACCATTATAAGATTGCCCTATAATGTCGTGTTACACGTGAAAGTACACTCAAAGTTAATAGCTGTCTAGTCAATATCTTGAGTGAACAGATGTTAAGTTGAGGCCCTGCTAATCAACCTAGGGGTTGACCTTCCTACGTTACTAGTTAGGCTTATCTGTATCAACACTAACACCGGGGTACAATACACCGCAAGGAGGGAATAGTCTCGAGGATCTGAATCATCTATAGAGATTACCTATCATTCCGGACCGGCGCTTTCACAGGAGAAATTCCAGTGGAGAGTATTCTAACGGGTTGGAATAGCTTGCACAAGCCTCTCTAGCAGTATTCCGCATTGATTGAATTATGATCCGACCTCTAGGGCCGTGCACCGCCCGCAAAAATTCCACGTCATCGTCCAAGTAAGGTCATACTGCACTCAGGTAGCTTTTCAGGATTCTTTTAGGACTTGGAGGGGGTTACATGACTACGAAAAGGTAGTCGCCTACTAATTTACGCTTCAAAGCAAAGGCCAAAATACAAAGAGCACAAAGGGGGAGGATCCGTGGAGCTTAGGTGTCGTTGGGCGTTATGCCAAGGACCTGTGGCTCCGAATACGACCTGTACTGTACATGTATCAACAACTATACCGCTGGTCGGACTGAGCCGCGAAGTTTTCATCTCCTTGACGGTGCAATGATACCCATCCCCGGCGTACCAAACTGAAGGACCGTCGGCTAACCTCCCCCGCACAGATGTCAATGAGCAAGCTGAGCGAGCTCAGCCAATTGGCTTGCTCAGCCAATTGAGCGGAGGCCAGCAGCTCGCTCGGCTCGCTCGGATTGGCTGAAACAGGGCTGTCAGCTCGCTCGGCTTGATGGGCTCAGTCCCGATTAGGAAAGTTATATAGAAACCTTGGTGTTGAGTTTCTCAGCTAATATCCCACTTATGTACACCGTATTTCGCGTCCATCTCCTCATCGCTGATAACCCCCTTTACAGGCACCTCACCACTGCCAAATCCAGCTCTTATCCATCGTCGATCGCACTGTATTGCTGCTAGAAGTTGCGGAGAAATGCTGCGCCGACGGGGCTCGAGGAGGTCACCCAGCTCGCTGAATAAGCGCTCACACTCACAGCTTGAGCCTGGGATTGATAGCATGTCGATAGCAAATTTGCTAAGGCTAGGGTGGCGATCGCGGAGTTCTACCCAGTATTTTATAGGGTCGACGCCCTCGCCAGCGATCGGTTCGCTGCGTTTCCAAGCCTCATATTCATCTTCCTCGTTCTCCGTAAGCCCTGCAGGCTCAATAAAGTTGTTGATAAAGTTGCCGCGATTTCTGGAGCATTAACGCGTGTTCTTTTTGCTGGCATTATAGCAACGGCGAGGTAGATAGTAGCTGCAAATAGAGACGCGTTGATGGAGTATAGATGAGTGTGGTGGGTGATAAGTAGTAAGTGAAGTGTCGCAAAAGGAGAATATTGTTGCCAGGCGGTTAGCCGGAAATTTAGTAGCTTATTTGCTAGAAATATAGCAAAAAAGAGTGTATTTTATGTTATAACTAGGTTTCGAACTTACGCACTACACCTAAAAATCATCGTGAGATTGCCCCTCCACCAAGTCCTTCAGCCCCAAGTTTCCAACCGCCCCATCTAACCAAGCTAAGCAAGCTGACTGAGCGAGCGCCTATCCCTAAGCTCGCTCGGCTTGCAAGCGCGCATTGCGCGCTCAGCTCATTCGGCTTGGTCAAAACGTCCAAGCCGAGCGAGCTGAGCGAGCCGGCTCGCTCGTTGACAAGTATGCTCCCCCGGACCAAGCAAATCGACACCCCGCACGCCCAGCCATAGTGCCTAGATATTTGTGTCGTATGGACAGATTGCTCAGGTGGGCGGTCAAGTAGCTGACCGCCGCCTTCGGGAAATCTGTCTCGGCCAACAAAGGGACCCCCCTGGAGCTGCGATCATACACTGACTAAAGGATAAAGCTATAATAGCCCCTTAAGTATCCGTTTCAAAAACAGCACTACTAAGATTGTTCTTGCTTATATCATACAATTCCACGAGAATCCTCTATATTTTTACCGTCATATCCTCCTAATACATCACAACCTTCACTTAGCTCGCAATAACTATTACAACTATGAAGCTATTTATCGCAATTATCGCGACAGCACTTGCGATACTCCCTGGCTCGAAAGCTCAGGCTACCCAGGAAATATGTGGCATATGTTACCAAGAGGGAAACAAGCTCATTGGGTGGACGTGTTTTCAAGGCAATATTAAAAGGAGCTGCAATGCCCAATGTTACAAGGAACATGTTGATGCCGGTAAAGAAGTCTGCTGCGTATGTCGTGTTATTTCTAAAGTTAGATATTTGGTTATACTAATACATGAATACAGGATATTCCGCTTTGCACCTAAGCGTATGCCCCTGAACCACTACTATAGGTAGCGACGCCAAGAGATCAGAATCCAAACCCAGTCCTTCCCCCCATCTCGCCTCTCCACGCCCATGTTTATCAAGAAATCCGACTTCTTAGAACATCACACAGTCAAAAGCGGGAAAACAAAAGCGTATTGGTGGTTTATCAAGTAATAGATTCCGATCAGCTAATCTACCATCTACAAGAAAACCCTTTTCTAATCACTCACACTCTCTCCCATCAAATCTATCTTTCGTGTATCTATCTCGTGTACAAAAAAGCCGAAAATCTCTAAACTCTAAACGCTATCAAAGAAAAAAGATTGGACCCGACCAAAAGACAGCCAAAAAAGCAAACAAGCAAACAAACAAACAAAACCAGAAGAGATGGAAAAGCTCCAGTAGAACCAGCTAACTCAAGGCCTGATGTCCCAGCTCACAGAGGTTGAAGATCTGCTTTTCTGAAAACATTGCTAACCCGCATGGAGAGAAGAAACCCCCATGTTCCGCTCTAAGATTTCGTGTGTATGTATGTGTGTGTGTTGTTTTTGATGCCGGATGGAAAGGTCGAGAAGACAACGACCCGTTTACGGGGCGCACTTTCCCTTGCAGACCTGGAGGCACTTGGTCTGTGCGAGAGCGAGGACGGTGGAGTTGCAGGCAACATCGCAAGCGATGTTGCAGACCTGCTGGCCAGTGACGCGGGCAACGAGCATGTCGACGTGAGCCTCAGGGTCGGCTTCAGCCTCGGCCATGCGGCGGGCGAGGTCGGCTTCAGGCTCGGCGGAGCGGGCGGCGATGCTGTAGATGTCCTCCTCGTCGCCAGCCTCGAGGTCGCGCTTGAGGGGACCCGCTGTGCAGGCCGCGTTGCAGAGTGTGGAGGCAATGCCCGCGGTGGCAACGGTGCAGGTGGCTTTGCAGGCTGTCTGGCAGACCTTGAGGGGAGTGCCGGTGAGGGTACCGCAGGTACGCTTGGTCATCATGGCACCCGGGTTGGGGGTGGCAGCGGCGAAGGTAGCGGCGAAGACAATGGCGATGATGGAGAACTGCATGTTTGCGGTGGAGTTGGTTGGTTGAGTTGGTTTGTTGGTTTGGTGAAAAGTGTTTAGAGTGAAAGTAAAGACTTGGAGATTATCAAAATCTGAAGACTTGAGTGATCGAAGTGATGATTGTTGAGTGGAGGAGTGAAGTGAGAAGCTGATGATTGTGATGCTCTTCAAACTGAGGAGAATACTTGTTCTCTTATACAACTCTGCCTCTCTCTCGATGCAGTGAGCATCGTCAGTGGCTTTGCGTCCAAGTGACATTTGGTCCCTGAACAGAGTGGAGTCCGGCATGGCCCCAAAGTGGTCCCCGTCATCTGCTCCATCCTCCCTCATGGTTGCAGTTTCATGCGTTCCTGTGTAGCGCCGAAGAACTAGAAACTTGTGCGTGGTTTGGATGGTTCGTTGCCCGAATGCATGTAGGCTGAGGCTACCGTTTCTCGGGCTGGGACCACCAGATGGACTGAGCGTCTAAGGCGTTCGGTAGTGCCTGGGCGCTAATCACTCCCGCAATATTAGCTGATGGCGGTATTCAGGTGTTGCATTAGGCCGACGAATGGTAGTGAAACAGTTAGGGCATTGTGAGGTAAAGCCTTAGGGAAAAATTGTGCTCGAGCACTCTAGCACATGCAGTTATGCGACCCCAGACACAGGCTCGTGATGTTCAATGTAAGCCAACAAGAATTTTGGCAATATTCCTGTTGTTGTCCGGGTCCAAATTGATAGTCTTACTGAGCGCATGTTTCGTCATGCTATGAATAGAGAGGCGTCGCCATTATGTAAAAACTTCGGGCTTCTACAACTATCAACATGTCAGACTACGTAGATACTTTCGGAGGTCAGTATAATTGGAGCTGTATCTGAAGACACGGAGAGCAAATGCTCCCGCTACGATCAGATGCGGCAGGAATCTTCGGCCTTTCCCCACATATCCACCGAGGCGGCCATAGGCGCCCGACATCTAATCATTGTCAGGGACATTGGTAGCTTGAACCTGGGCTTGTGCGTGCACCTGATGGTATTTCCATTTACAAGGCGTCCTGCTTGACACTGCCGTTACGTGCCGTGACGTACCTGGTGTACCTAGCCCAGCATGGATTCCAAAAGTGTAGCGTGTAGCAGTCGACGTGTGCTAGGGTAAACCACCTGGGTACGCCAGTGATAACAGCAATGTTTGTCGGTTTGGCCTAGATGAAAACAATGCACAAAAGTCGGTACCTCTCCCAATCTTCCAGCCCAATGGTGCGAGCAGCACGTGGATGATAGCTGGGGGTTTCCAAGGGGGAAAAGTTGAGACAAAATGAAACCCCAGGGTTGACAATTGATAGTTGACAATTGGTGTGAGGGGGTCCTACAACGGCCAATTGCCCGAGACAAGCGTTTATTCCTCTTCCGAATTAGCTGGACCCTTTTTCTCGTTGCGGCCCCTTAGTCACCGAGATTCGCGGGTCCAGCGCGCCTCGAGATGGCAGCGGGTAAGTGTCAAACCGCGCCAGATCCGCATGGATGACAGCATCGCAATCGCAGTCGGGGGGTTCCCTGCAGGACAACGTGAAAGCACACAATTGGAAACCGACGGCGGCACGTGCGTCTTGAGCCTCACGGTGCGAAACTCCAGCATTAAGGTCCCGGCTAGTCAGTTTCCAAGCGCTAAACTCACGGAAAGGAAAAGGCTCAACTGTTCTTGGGCAAGTCTCAAAATGCAGGCACAGAAGCGCATGCTCGCACTCGCCTCTTGGAACAGATGCTTGGGGTTGTGGCATGGGTGGTGGTTGATTGATAGTTACATGGACCGGAAGTTCGGCACGTGGATCAGCACAGGCCACCGATGGTTGTGCGACGCCGTTGACGACTACCAACGTGATCGCCATCTTTCGGAAGCCGAAGCCCATTTTTCTGCCATCCTACCTATTTTACTTGTTACCCCGCCAAGCCTAGTGCTTATACATTCCCCACAATCCTCTTGAACATGTATGCATTTAGCATGTTACCAGATTGGCGATCCTAATTTGGTAGTGCTTTCCACTTTTGGTGGCGCAGCAGCATAGTGTAGGAAGTGGATTCAGAAAAGAAGAAAAAAGTGGCTTGTCGCCCCCCCGGCTGGTGAAAGCGGTCGTTCGTGCAAAAGCCGCCGTGATGATACGATGCATAATGCGAATAAACCGCTCTACCTTCTTGTTTTAGTTTTCCGGCACGTTTCCAGAACAATGACAAGCCACACAGTGCATCACGCCGGTGTCATATCCCATTAACGTTCGTTTCAACAACCGGCCGGGCTACGAAACCAGCGACGAGAAAATTCCAAGCTTCGCAAAATTACCAACCACAAGAGGTAAGCTACGCAGTCGAGAGAAGCTTTTGCGGCTCTAACCTTAGGCCACCCTTTAGGGAAAGCTTAGCAGGTAGTACAGACCAGTCACACGATGTGGGGGGGGGGGACCTCCCTTTTCTGAGGCATTATCACTAGCCACCTGCACGGCTAAAACCAGCTGAAACTGACCATTGGACGACGACAGACATCTCGCCTCCCGCTCATGAGTAAGCCCATGGAATCCCTGGTTTGCGGCTGTGCACTTGCGCCCGGGGTTCGGGAAGCTCACATGCATGTTGACGCGTTTGAGATGCTTTCCCCCCTTATGTATGTGGCACAGATCACACATCCGCCCTAGGAAAGAACATGGCCCCCATCCCGAGATCTACCTGCAAGGCCTAAAAGGGATCCACTCTGTTTTGAAAAGTCGCATATGCGGCATCGCAAGTCCGCCCCAAGGCTGACAGCGCTGACAATCTGGATGTAACGTCATTGTGCTGGAGGTTTGAGAGATGGGCAGCCTTGCGCGCACAAATATTTGAGCGCCCCGTCTTTGCGTCTGCATAAGTTTTGTTACCTTCCAGCCACTATATCTCTTACTCGCTCTCGCTCTCGCTCTGTCAGCTTCTTCATCGCACCACTTCTTGAAACTGCTGCTTACTGCGTCGCTTTCTACTCCCTTTCATCTCTTTGCACGCAAGCGAAAATGTCACACGTTGAGGCTATTCAGTCGCTGCGGGTTTCCCAGGGTATCTTCACGGTTGTTAATCTTGCACTTGCAAGCTATCGTAAGTCCATCCTCCACCACCCTTCTTACGTGGGATGAGCAGAGTTCTAACCCGATGCCGATTCAGTCTTCAACTACTGTACCCCTACAACACACCCCTCAGCTCAAGTCGCCATCTCTCTCTTCGCAGCCTGCGTATCCACCATCGGCGTATGCTGTGCGCCTGTCCAGGGAACCACCCTATGGCGATGTACGTTCTAACCCTCCCCCATCGCACAACTCGTCGTCAACATACTAACTCCCCCGTAGCACCCAAACTCTTCTTCGCCTTCGGCATTGACTGGCTCGTTGCATTCGTCAACCTAGCCGCTCTTATTGCCTTGGCAGTACTCACAACAAAGTCAAAGTACTGCGATGCCAGCACATGCACCATAGTCAAAGTCAACGCTGCCTTCACCGGCTTCAACTTTGTTAACTGGGCAGCTACAGCGACGTTTCTGGGCATGCAGTTGTCGAAGCCGGTCAAGTGTGTGTATCAAGTTGTGCCGACGACTGAGAAGGGTAGTTTTGTGTGAGGGGAGCGGATGTGTGGAAATGATGTGATGCATTTAGCGAACTTGGGATTTGGGATTTGAAGACTGGGTAGATGGTCAAGCTATGGATTAGATAACGATGTACATGATGGATGGCTGATCGGGATACGTAGACTGTGTCGGGTTTCTCTCTAGTGTTTAAGACATGATTATGATATTTTTTGAATATGTTGGAGAATGCGTGCGATATGAATTTGACCAATATAGTGAGCTGCTGTATTCTAGTGACGTCTCCTAGCCTGGTGATGCAAAGGTATTTTCCTTATACCACACTGTCAGGACATGTCCGCCACATCATGACTATATAGCACGAAGTCACACAATGTATCGTCCCATCCCCAAGCCCAGCATCTCAACACTCAGACTCCAGTCAAAATCATCATCTCTACCCTTTGACCACAGCATTGTGTTACTACCCAAGTGTTAACAAGATTCCGTAATAAATCCCTAGCTCTTCTACTTTACCATCCCAAGCTTACAGTGTCTCCGCCGCGTGAACGCACAACCCCTACGAAAACCCCTCTTTGTCCCTTCACAAAGCTAACAACCCTTCCTACAAAACATACCCCTTTCTTTTCCCCTGTAAAATCCTTAGACCCAGCGAGTATCTCTCACACAACCACACCTACAACAACAACAATGTCTCCCTTACCCCTCCCCCTCACCCTATCTACCCTCACCCACGCCCTCCCCCTCCCAACCCCCCAAACCGTCCTCCCCCCATCCTCCACCTACCCCACCCCCCACCCCCAATCCAAATCCAGCAAAGAATACCTCGCCTTCTTCTACCTCCTCACCAGCTTCTCCACTGCCGGCGCCCTCCTACTCATCTGGGTAGTCTGGGTAGCGCTATCGTCTTGGCTGGCTGAGCGCGCGACACCGTTTCATTCTGAAGAGACGGTCGATCGCATGCGTGGGGAGCGGGATGAGCGTATGGAGAACGGCGAGGTTCGGGTGGATGGGAGGTGGCGGATAAAGGGGGCGGAGGTTGATCTGGTCTCGTGAATACCATTGCGTACATTAAGCTTCCAATAATCTGTGAATATTGTGTGGAGTCGATTCTGGCGTCTTCAGGAGTAGCAGGCTTTAGGTGTTCGTAGTCTGCAGCAGGGATCTTCTTTGACTTGTACTTTGCTGAGGTGATACCGTACTTATCTAGGACTGTCTCTAGGTACTGCTGTTGATCGAGGTAAATAGCTTTGTTATCTCTATCGCGGGTGACTCTAACTCCAAGGATCTTTCGAATCTCCCCCAGGTTCTTGGAGTTGAATCTCGTAAGGAGCATTTCGTCGAACCAGGCTAGGTCTGAAGTGAGTTTCGCGGCAGCAGCAATGTCGTCAACATAAACCAGTAGTGAAATACCTCTGCCTTTATGCGTGAATAGGCAGGGGTCTGCAAGGCTCTGTGTAAAACCGATCTCAGTTAAGAACCCCTTAAGTAGCAGGTTCCAATCTCGTCCAGCTTGCTTAAGTCCGTAAAGACTCCTCAAAACCTTCAGAACGTTGCCTTTCTTAACTTTTACCCCAGCTGGTGTTGTGAGGTAGATGTCTTCTTTTAAGTATGACTCAGTGAATGCGTTCTTGATGTCCCACTGCCAGCATTCCATGCCCTGTTTGGCAACAGTAGCAAGGAATAACCTTAAGGTGTCCATTCGTACTGTCGGGGCGAAAGTCTCGGTGTAGTCAATCCCGTGTTGTTGACTGAACCCTCGAGCAACAAGTCTGGCCTTGAACCTCTCAATCGTACCATCAACTTTAAGCTTGACAGTAAACACACATTTTGTGGTGACGAGGTTTGCACCCTGGGGTGGAATAAGCTCTTCCCAAGTTCCGTTCCCCACAAGAGTCCTGATCTCTTCCTCAATTGCCTCTTTCCACTTCAGTGCGTTCTCTGGGTCGCTTATAGCTTGTTTATAGGTCTGAGGGATTCTAATGCCTTTAACTTCTGTTGCTGCGAAAGCTTTGCCGCTAAGTTCTGCTCGTCCCGTGACATCGAGGTTTCCACTTACAATCACCGTATAGAAGGCTTTAACAATCGTCTCGTGTGCAGACTCTTCATGGTGGTGCGTAGATGTCGGGATTTCAGTTGTGGGGTCTTCGTCAGCTCGGCTCTCTCGTAGGACAGCTAGCATAGCTTTGACAATTTTGGCTTGGCGATGTTCATCCTCCATGTCGTCAAATGTATCTCGCTTTCTCTTTTGGGTCCGAGTCCTGAAGTGATACCTAGCTGATGGTTCGGCTGCTACTGGGTTGGTAACTTCGTCTACCTCCATTTCTTCGCTCTCATCCTCTACTGTTGGCGCGGGTGGAGTGATGGTAGGTGATGGGTGCGCAGGTGCTGGCGTAGGCGGCGATGGTGGCGGCGGTGATGGCGGCGATGGTGGCGGCGATGATGGCGGCGGCAATGGCGGCGATGATGGCGGCAGTTCAATATCAACATCCAGGGCGTCGGGTTTAGTTAGTTGATTTAGGTTCTTCTTTGGTCTTCCTCTGGCTTTCCGTGGGATGAGCTCATTAGATGTGCCCATTGGACCTGATTTGACTCTCAAGTTCAGGTCTATCTTTCCCCCTGGCACCTTCTCATTAGTTTGGATGACGCTAACTCTATGCGTATATCCAAGGTCAGGAGAGTAGACTTTGAACTGCTTGTCTGTAGTTTCAGAATATCCCATAAAGACGCCTGCTCGACCACGGTGCACTAACTTGTCTAATCTCCCTTTCGCTGGCAGCGTCTTTGGATTGAGATAGGTGTAACACTTGCTCCCCCAGACTCGTACGTGGTCTACGCCTGGGCGTTTCCCTGAGAATACCTGCTCTGGAGACGTGGGTTTTCCCTCGACCAGCGGTCCTGTTGGCAGTCTATTGCGGATGTAGGCGTCAGCCTCAGCGGCCTCGTCCCAGAACTCAATAGGAAGTTGTGCATCATCGAGCATTGCCCTCATTGCGTGTTCGGCAGTCTGGATGCTTCGCTCCACTGGTCCATTTTGATTCGAGCTCGCAATTACGGTGTAGTCGGCCTGAACCCCGTCTTCAGTTTCCCACTGGTTTATCACAAGCTTTAGTTCTGGCGCATTGTCTGATCTGCAGGCCTTCACCTTCTTCCCAGTCTGGAGCTCTACCTTTGCCTTCCATCTGCGTAGCTCTAGGATAGCCTGGTCCTTGGTTTTCAGTGGTATCGACCAGTTCTTTCGGGAGTGGTTGCAGATTATTTGCATAAGGTAGTTATTTCCGCGGAGTGATGTAGGGAACGGTCCAGCTAAGTCAAGAGATACTAGTGCTAGTACCTCCTTTTTGTGTTCTGCTAGGATTTTGTTCATCTTATTCCTCATCTTGCCTTTAAGGCATGGGTCACAGAAGCGCCTGTGGGCTGGGGGTACTTTAATCTTTTCAATTGTCGTTACCTTATACAGGTTTCGTAGCATTGCTGGGCCGTAGTGAGCAAACCGTCTGTGCATTAGCCTGTAGTTCCGGCGATCTTTCTTCGTGGACTTGTCTGGGTCCTGGTCGGATTGTGTCTCGGGTTGTGTCTCCTGACTTTCCTCCGCAGTGCTTTGATCGTTGCTGTCGGTCCGAGTCTTGCCTGCAATAAACGCCTTTCCTGAGTACTTGCTTGCAATGTGGCTTACGATGTACAGACCGTCCTTCTGTGCTGCTTGTACTGCGATTCTTGATTTGTCCTTAAAATACATGTTCTTGTCATCAAAAATGCCTTGAAGTCCCTCCCTACACAACCGTCTTGCTGCGATTAGATTCACGCCGAGCTTAGGTACGTAGAGAACCTTTCGGAGTAATCCTGTTGTCCCATCCAGTGCCTTCATCATAACAGTACCACGTTGGGTAGAATGAAGAAATCCTCCCCCAACCTGGATAGTGGTGAGCGGCGTGCGCTTTAGCGGTCCTCTAAACAGGTTTCTCTTGTCAGTCATGTGTGATGAAGCACCAGTATCAGCAATCCAGTTCGCCGGTGTGCTTTTACTAGCTTGTTCCGCAGAGATATGGCAGTGTTGCGTACATTCTGTTTCCACGGATGTAGACTCGTGGCTGGTCTCGCTGTCCGTGCCTGAGGAGCCATTGTCCGTTCCAGAGTCAGAATCCTGATTCTTGGCTGCGTACCCATGCTTGCGCCTCGAGGTTGTCTTGACTGTAGGCTTGACAGGTTTGTCAGATCGCTTCTTGTTCTCATTTCTAGAAGGTCTCTTCGACTTGGCTGCGCGTCTCTCAGCTCTTTCGTCTTTCTCTCGAAGTTTTCTTCCGAATTCCTGAATTTCACCCTTGTATTTGCAGTCTCGGGCCCAGTGTTCTCCCTTACAATGGAGGCATCCTGTGGATGGGCCTAATTCAGGCGATGTAGAACGGGGGCGGTCGCGCATCGAGGAGTCCGAGCTTCTATGGTCATTCGGGTGACGGTACTTCGGGAATGCTACATTTGCATGCTCAGCCGTGTCGTTCAGTCGCAGCTCCTTCGTGCGGAGTGCAGCAATCTTTTCGTCAACCGTGAGAGAGGTCTGGACATCGAGATAGTCGATTACTGATCCGTAGCTTTCTGGAAGAGCGCGTAGCATGATCTGGAGAAGTGCCTCATCATTGTAGAGTCCCTTGGCAGCAGGCTTAGCTGCAATAATCTTGCGGCGGTATTCTTTTAGCTTTGCCCACGTGTAGTCGACATCCTTCTCGTCTTTCCAGGTGAAGTTCTGAAGCTTGGTCATGATGTTGTTGGCTGTCAACTGATCAGTCTTTGAGTACTTGACCTTCAGTGCGGTCCAGAGGGCAGATGCAGTCTCGTACTCGTCTGCGAGAGCGTCGTCATCATCAAGGAGACTGTTTGTGATGTAGAACAGTGCCTTAGCCTCATCCTTGTCGTATTCCTTTGCCTTTTCAGCGTTCCATGTACCTCCCAGTCGTTCGAAGTCGCTTGTCAGGCCTAGGACGCTTGCTTGTTCTGTAGGGTTGACAGTGCCGGCCGGGTCTTGAGAGGTGTTGGCAGTTGATGTGGAGGTGCCAGCTCCATGTCGTGCAATCCAGGCGTACGCGTGCTTCGTGACTTCGATAGTGTAGAAGATTCCCTTTCCCTTCAGCTTCAGTTTGTTATTGCGGAACCATTTCTCGTGATTCTCCTTCGTCAGCTTTGGGATCTTAGGCTCCTTATCGTATCTGTCGTCGCTGCCCATCTTCGCGGTTGTGCTTTTGACTGTCTGTGACGCGTCAAATGCCGTAGTTGTGTGTGGTTTCGAGGTGTAGGGGGTGTTTAGTGGGTTTGTAAACGTTTTGGCGTCTGCGCCCTTCAGCTTTCTCTAGCTGGAACCGTATGCTCGTTTTCGGTGTGCGAGAAGCTCGTCTCGTCTTCCGTGTGCGAGAAGCCCGTCTCGTCTTTCGTATGCGAGAAGCCCGTCTCGTCTTTCGTATGCGAGAAGCTCGTCTCGTCTTCCGTGTGCGAGAAGCTCGTCTCGTCTTCCGTGTGCGAGAAGCTCGTCTCGACTTTCGTGGCTTCAGATCACCTTGATCTGGTGGGTCGCCGAATCGTAGAGCACCGAGCAACCGGGCTCATAACCTATTGAGAAGCTGGCACTATTAGTAGTAGTATGACTACCTAATAGAGCGCTCTCTAAGGCACAACGGTAGTGGTGGTACAGATTCGTATTGTATTGACTAAGGAGCTATTCACACGTTCGTAGATCCGTGTTGCGTGCAGCTGCGTCCAAGCTCCCCGCTAGGACCCACCTGCACGTGTCACCAATCATGTGACTACTCCTCCGCTTGATACCACCAAGTCACTTACGGACTGTATTCTCAACAAAAAGTATGTTTTTTTGCAAATTAGAGAATACACACCAAACAAAGAAAAGAAAAAGGATGCAAAAGGGTTTACACGTTCGAATTCTGCAAAAGCTCACCTAACATTACATGGACACTAAACATTGTGAAGTGAAACTTACCATATATTTACATGTTGTTAAGAATATGTTAGGTTCAGTCCAGGTCGGCGAGGTGAGGTTCGTGGAGTAAGCCCGAGCAGAAGGACCGACGCGGAATGATGATCTGTCATGTACGTCCTAAGATCATCATAACAACAAGTAGATAGAACAATAGCTCTTAGTGAAGTTCAATCCAATACAGGGTTACCTTTCGTACCTCTACTCGGTCGCCTATGGTAGTCATACCACCAGAGGAGACCTTGTTCTAACACATGTTATATTATCTAATTGTTGTCACTTTGAATCCAACATCCCACTACTGTGACTGACTGTCAACACGGTTGAATCCACCAACACACATGATCGATTCGGATTATCGTATGCAACATAACGATGAGTCTAACTCTCAACGTACTCGTAACACTCGATCAAATTTTAAAATACCTAAGAAGCGCCATTGGCTCACAACGTCGCGTTCTGTGGTAGTATGAAACCACCAAAATCGCATCTCACTGTTTGCATAAAAACCACTTCATCACAACCGTAGTCCGCCCGTTGGATCTCCACAATCACCCCAGACTATTTCGCTTGCATCCGCTCCGCTGTCCACAATCAGCTGGAGGACCGTGTACATAAACCGACATGGTTGTGTTTCGCCTTCGATCCTCTCCGGTAAACCTTCCATCATCTACAATATAACACAAGCATCTCCACTATCCAACATGCCTCTCAAGTCAGATGGTGCCATTGTTGCATTATTCATGAGCAGCGTTCTAGGCACGATGGTAGTCATGCACACATGTACCCCCACGCTGGCTGTGAATATCAGAAAACATCTTGACGAGGAAAAGTGTCGACGGGTGTTGCAAGAAGTTCGCGAGGGAAATAAGTTGATGGCGCGCAGGGAGAAGACTAGGCTGCGAAGACAGAGACAATATGAGCAAGAGTGTCGAATATCTAATGGCGAGTATTTTGGCTGGATGTGAGGCTCAACTCAGCTCAGCCATGGTGGGGTGCCAAGCCAGCGCAAATCTGGAGGGGAAAACAAGAAACGCCCACAGGACCGTTGTTGCATGAGAATCTCAAGACGAGACGTCTAAATCTGGTGAAGCAAGGTGAAGTAAGTAGTGACATTTGGCCGATGGATGAAACTTGGTTGATAGCCGAGGAATGGCAGTGTGGATGCGGGTGCGATCGGTTTGTCGCACGAAGACGCCCGCGGCCGGTGGAGCTTTCTTTTTCTGTATCCGAGCTTTGCGCAACACCTCCGCCGTTCGATTACCAGCCTCAACCTACCTGCTACAACCAAAGCGCAGTCCAATTGGGTAGCACTTGCACTCTTACACCCTCACCATGTTGGCTGCTCGCTCCTTCGCCGCACCGTCGCGGCAATGTCTGCGCCAGGCGACCCGAGCAAGGTGGGCGCCCGCGCTGTCACAGGTGAGCTTGCAGGGACCATCTGATAACACGGCCAGCGTGCTCTATGCTGTCAGACAGATTGTACCAGGCAACATGACTAATGCCGTCTAGGTCTCTGCCCGCACCTACGCCTCGGAAGTTGCCAAGTTCCACGGCACAAAGGGCAGCGATGGCAAGTACTCGGTCACGCTCATTGAGGGCGACGGTATCGGTCCCGAGATTGCGCAATCGGTAAAGGACATTTACTCTGCTGCCAATGTGCCAATCAAGTGGGAGTCGGTCGATGTGACGCCGCGCCTCAACGAGGACGGCAAGACGGTGATTCCCGACGAGTCGATTACCAGCGTCAAGAAGAACTTGGTTGCCCTCAAGGGCCCGCTTGCGACACCCATTGGAAAGGGTCACGTCTCGCTCAACCTGACGCTCCGCCGTACTTTCAACCTCTTCGCCAACGTCCGACCCTGCAGATCCATCGCCGGTTACAAGACGCCCTACGACGACGTCGACACTGTCCTGATCCGTGAGAACACCGAGGGTGAATACTCTGGCATTGAGCACATTGTGGTGGACGGTGTTGTGCAGAGCATCAAGCTCATCACCCGCGAGGCCTCTGAGCGCGTGCTGCGATATGCCTTCCAGCACGCCCGCGACATTGGCCGCAAGAAGGTCCGCGCCGTGCACAAGGCCACCATCATGAAGATGTCCGACGGTCTCTTCCTCAGCACCGCCCGCGAAATCTCAAAGGAGTTCCCCGACATTGAGTTTGACGCCGAACTCCTGGACAACACCTGCTTGAAGATGGTCACCGACCCCGTCCCATACAACGACAAGGTGCTCGTCATGCCCAACTTGTACGGAGACATCCTCTCCGACATGTGCGCTGGTCTCATCGGTGGTCTTGGTCTCACTCCCTCGGGCAACATTGGTGACAACTGCTCCATCTTCGAGGCTGTCCACGGTTCCGCGCCCGACATTGCTGGAAAGCAGCTCGCTAACCCCACGGCGCTCCTTCTCAGCTCCATCATGATGTTGCGACACATGGGCTTGACCGCCGAGGCCAGCAACATTGAGCAGGCTATCTTCAAGGTGCTCGCAGAGGGCAAGGTACGTCAGATTTTCCAGACATTGAAGCGTCTGCTAACCCCACTACAGACCATCACCGGCGATCTCGGCGGAAAGGCCAAGACGTATGAGTATGCCGATGCTGTCATCAAGGCGCTCAAGTAGATTCCCCAAGTAGATTAGCTTATGGATTTGACGAGCATTGAAACCATGTATGGTAGCGATTGCATATTGTGGATATGTCCCTGTACTATAGCTGCCAGTAAGCTAGATTATCTCTATCTTGAGTTTGTTATAGTTTGGCAATGCATGTGTATGAAATTGAACATGTCGCAATCGCACGTCGATCGCCCTGCATGACAAGGATTCGCCGATGCGCTGATCTCGGAATCGGAAGCCACAATCTTGACCTTGCACCAAATCCTCCCAAATGCCACCTAAACCACCGCTCCGTCTCCCCACCAAACCGCGCACAGCATCCATCCCACGTGTCAAACCAGCTCTACCCACCCGACCCGTAAAACCCCTCCCCCGAGGTGCGCCGCCGCCGCCTTCACGCTCCCCCACCAAGTCCAGCGCACCACGACAACCTCAATCGCAATGGCTTGACCAACGCGCCCTCGGCTCCCCCCACCGCTACTGGCTAAAATGGGGCATCAACGGCATCGTCCTGTGCTCTGGCCTCCTCTTCATCCGCGACTACTTGTTCGAGATCCAAGCCGTACGCGGCACCTCCATGTCACCGACGCTCAACCCGCACACGCACGAGACAGGCTCGTCAGAATCCGTGTTCATACGGCGCTATATACCGGGTGCGCGAGAAAGAAAGACCGCAAGCGAGAAAGATTATAAATGGAGCATCCGCCGCGGCGACGTCGTAACGTTTTGGAAACCGCATAAACCGGGTGAAATGGGGATTAAACGCGTCATCGCCGTCGAGGGCGACACTGTGTATCCAACGCGGGGCTACGCGCTTGACCCTGCGGCTAGGGAGGGTAGGTTGGGCGGATTGCCGGATGGGTTTTTGGATGAGGATGTTGGGTCGGTTGTGCATGGAAGGGAGGAGGAGGTGGCTAGGGTGGTTGTGCCGTATGGACATGTGTGGCTGGAGGGGGATAATGCGAGGAGTAGTCTTGATAGCAATTTCTTTGGGCCGGTTAGTAAAGGTCTTGTGCAAGGGAAGGCGGTGAGGGTTTGGAGTGGGTGGTTTGGGTGGAGGGATGTGGGGGATATGAGGGGGGAGGCGGAGAGGCGGTTGGGGAGTAGGGTTGTCGAGGGGAGGAGTGAGGTTCCTGCTGCGTTTTTGGAGTGATGGTATAAAGGTATGGATTGTATTCTATTGTGTCTACGTGGCTGCATGGCTCACTCGAGTTTGCAGATCTTCTCGATTTCAGCGCATACGGCATCTGTCACGGTCTTTGTATCCGCGCTTCCACCCAAGTCCTTGGTCTTGATACCTGCTGCGGTGACGTTTTCAATCGCCTTCATCAGCCCGTCGGCGGCTTTGTCCTCGCCTAACCATCGTACCATTTCCGCTGCACTCCAGAAGGCGCCCACGGGATTCGCTATGCCTTTGCCCGCAATATCAGGCGCAGAGCCGTGGATGGGCTCAAACATGCTTGGGTTGGCACGCGCAGGGTCGAGATTACTCGACGGGGCAATGCCAATGGATCCGCTCAGCGCTGCCGCAAGGTCGGACAAGATGTCTGCATGGAGGTTGGTAGCAACAATCGTATCGAGCGTGGAGGGATGCAGCGTCATGCGCACCGTCATGGCATCGACGAGCATCTTGTCAATCTCGATATCCTCGTACTCTTTCGCAACCTCATAAAACACCTTATCCCAAAGTACCATGCCGTGCCTCTGCGCATTGCTCTTCGTCACCATGGTCAACTTCTTCCTCGGCCGCGACCGTGCCGTCTCAAACGCATACCTCATCACCCTCTCAATCCCCACTCTAGTGAAGATGCTGACTTCAGTCGCAACCGCATGCGGCCCATCCTCATGCGACACACCACCCTGACCAGAATACTCGCCCTCGGAGTTCTCGCGCACAATAACCCAATCCAAATCCTCCCTCTTACAGTTTGCCAGCGGCGACGCGACACCCTGCAGGATGCGCGTCGGCCGCACATTAACGTACTGATTGAGGCATTTGCGAATCGGCAGGATCAGGGACCAGAGCGAGATATGGTCTGGAACGTCTGGCCAGCCGACCGCGCCAAAGTATATGGCGTCGTAGCTTTTGAGCTGCTGCAATCCGTCGCTAGGCATGTACCAGCCGCGCTCGAGATAGTTTTTGCTGCTCCAGTCGAAAGTGTAAAAGTCGAATTCGAAACCACCGGATGTGGTGGCGAGGGCGTGGAGCACGTGCTTGGCTGCGTCTGTTATGTCGATGCCGATGCCGTCGCCCGGGATGCAGGCGATGCGGTGGATTTTGTGCATGCAATGGATGTGTGATGGCATTTTAGCAGGGAGTTTGTTCTTGTTTGCTTGTTTGTTTGTATGGGGTTGATGTTGGATTATGTTGGATATACTATCTTGGTGTCGTCATCTACAGCTCCGCAAACTCAACTACACCTACCGGACATAGTTTCCGGGCCCAGGATTCCATCTGCGGGTAACCATCAGGCTCCCTCGGCCGGTGAGCATCACCAAAGGTAAATCGGGTTGGCATACGTCGAGTTCATCACTAGCAATGCGCGGTCGATGCATGCCCCTCTTTCCCAGACCCTGATGCGTTGCTGGTCGCGCCTTCCCCGCGCTAGCTCACACGAGCTGCATTGCCCCACCAAAGCCACGCGTGTTGAGCACCATAGCTCACCGCTAGGGCCGAGACCACCTTTCCCATAATAACCTTCTATCCTCTTCATCTTTGACTTCTCCATCTCTCAATTCAATCCAATTCAATCCATCTCCAATCCCTACCTACGAAAACAACGACCACCTTTCACAATGACAGCTGAAATCCCCCCCGGCGGCACCTTCTTCGACACGCTCAAGAAGAGCTTCGTAGACGTTCCCATTGACGAGTCAAAGGATAGTGCTATTCCCACGACTGAGTTCCTTGAGGCGGCGGAGAGTCTGCTTACGCTGTTCGATGTCTTGGGCTCGGCGGCGTTCAAGCCGGTCAAGAGTGACATGAGTGGCAACATCAAGGTTCGTTTTAGAAAGCTGCGGGAAAAAGAAGACGACGCATACTAATTCCAATGGCAGAAAATCCGCGACAGGCAGCTTGAAGCACCCGCCCAATCCGAGACTCTCCAGGACCTTGTTCTCAACGAGCTCGCGGAGAAGAAGCACACTGCCACCGAAGGACTCGTCTGGTTGAACCGGTATGTTTCGGACGTGTTCTGATTCCACGCCTTCTTATACTAACAGCCTACTCCCAGTGGCCTCGACTTCACCGCCCAAGCCCTCCGCCACAACATCTCCAACAACGAAAAAGAGCTCGCAGACTCGTTCCGCGACGCCTACGGCAACACGCTCAAGCCCCACCACTCGTTCATCGTCAAGCCCATCTTCAGCGCCGCCATGAGCGCTACACCCTACCGCCGCGACTTTTACAACAAGCTCGGTCAAGACGATGCAAAGGTGCAGGCGGAGCTGGTCAAGTGGTTGAGTGCGCTGGAGAAGGATGTCGCTGTGCTCAACACGTTTTTGGCCAAGAAGGAGGCTAAGTGGGTAGACTGGATGGGACGGCATTGCTTTTGAATGGATGGATGACGATGAGTGTATATGAAAATACCATGATGAATTTGTAAGCGGCTATGACGATGCTGCATGAACAAAACCACCAGCCTAAGATGCTTCCACCGTGACAACCTACTTCCTCTGAAACACAAACAAAGCATCGTCCTTGCCCGCAAAACTCGGCAACGGCATCTTCAACACCATCTCAAAAGCGGGTAAATGCCTCTCCACCCAAGCATCAACCACTACATCCGTAAACCCCGTAAACCCATTCCCACACTGCGTCCCCGCCACGACAACCGTATCACCCTCAAACGCCCTCATCACCGGCCCCGTGAAATCCGTCGTCGCCTGCGGATAAACAAGCAAAAGCACACACCCCTTGCCCCCCTCATTCTCCTTCAAATACCTAACCCCATCACTAACAACCGTATCACTAACCCAATAAACCCGATACTCACTCGCCATACTATCCACAGCTCTAACATCCAAGTTCTTCGACACACTACCCCCGCCTGTCAACCCACTGATATCAAACGTCCGTAGCATATACGACCAATACCCGTTTCCAGACCCGATGTCGAGGATTGGTCGCACGGCCTCTTTTGACGGGCGCGCGGGAAGGCTGAGTTTCGCCAGCGTGTGCAGCGCTGCGTAGGAGGGAACGACGCAGCCAAAGTGGTGGTAGAAGACGGGGAGGATGTGGTGGCTGAACCGCGTTTTGGCCGTGTTGAGGTGCGGGCCGCACCATTGCAGGGCGTGGCAGGTGTAGGTCCAGAGGGAGAGGTAGGGGTTTTTGTGATGCCGGGTGGGTCGGGCTTTGGGGAGGAGGGCTGGGGGCGGCGTGGTTGTGGTTGTGGTTGTGGTGGAGGAGGGGGAGGAAGAGGGTAGGTGGAGGTGCGAGAGTAGGTGCGTTCCGACGAGGTGGCGGAGAGTTCCTGGTTTGGCGTTGTGGGTGTAGGAGCGGAGGGATGAGGGAAGGGAGGCTGTTGGGGCGAAGATGTTGGTGTAGGCAGTTATTTCGGAGGGGGTAGGGTGGGGTGGTGTTAGCTGTGGGTGGGCGTTAGCTAGGTTTAAATGGGGTTGCATAGAAGTTGTAAGATGGGAGAGGGAAGGGGTCTGTTGGATACAAAAGACGGCTATATATAGAGATGGGGTAGTTGAACATGGGGAATAGTTTATTACACCAGGTGTAATATGAAAAGTATACGGTGATGTTGGACACTGGTGAAGAAAAAAACCAAAGAAGTTGTGCACACCATTAGACGGTGTACAATCCCAGGTCATTCCCAGCCAATACAAGAAAACCCGATACCAGGCCCAAGGAAACAACATTGAAGAATAACGTCTGGTCAAATCACGTGAAACAAACCCGCCACCCAACTTACCCATCTATACTACAATTCAAACACGCACAAAAAAAAATCAAGAACATACCAACTCCCCCTCACTATCATGATACCAATCAAGCATCTTATTCTGTCCCCCCGCCGCAATTGCCCGCTGCATATGCAACAACGTCGTCTCAGCCATGGCCCGGTAGACATAAGTATCTTTGGGGTCGATGCCGAAGGACTCGCAGAGACATTGGTAGAGCGTCTTGTTCGTGTGGAGGGGGGAGTACTTTTCATCGGACCAAGCGGCCATGAAGGCGTCTGGGTCGAAGGATTTGAGGGACATGGTTGGTTGTGTTGATCGGTGGTGTTGTGGTGTTGATGATGTAATAACGTAGTTTTCGGTGTTATGATGTTGAGGGTTTTGGTGTCGAGTTCCGCAGGGCTGCAATCCTATCAAATCCCACGCTCTTTCTTACTTCACAATTGTAGGCACGTGTTCTACTCAAACAGGTACATTTCAGTACTCTTGAAAAGTCGTTGCCGATTAGTGGTAGCGGCGTTCGGCACGTTTTGCTCGGCAAGCAGCGAATGACGTGCAGCTGATCAAGAAGCAGGGATGATTCCGTCATGCATTAATAATCTGCTTACTTGCATCTTCAACGCCGCCTCGTACTAATTCTTTCGCGCGTCTTTGTCACCCATTGTAAATGCACATGTTTTGCGCGCGAAAAATAATCGACTTGGACGATGCACAATCCACGTATAAAGCGGGCATGCTGCAACTGCTTCTCTAATAATGACCGACAACGCCCGCCCTGAAGATCCTCACACGCCACATTCGTCCTATTCATCACATACAAAGACGATTGCAGCGCTTGTTTGTGCTTTTGCTGTCATCCTGGCTTTCTCAAGCACGTTTCGCAATCTCTTTTTGTCCTCGTCGTCTCTCGCTGTCAAGCAGAGTGCGCGCGCAATGTCGACGGCTGCACCTACCTCGATGAAGGTTACCAAGCGCCCATGGTCGCAACGCGGACACGCGGATCACGACTGGCTTTATACCTATCACACATTTTCATTTGCCTCGTACTTTGACCCCCAGCATGAGAGCTTTGGCCCGCTCAGGGTGATCAACGAGGACAGGGTCAAGGCAGGCACCGGCTTTGGTACGTGTGCAAACTGTGGCGCCATTTTCATACGCTTTACCAAAAAACTAATGCATTACCGGCAAAATAGGAACGCACAGCCACGCCGAGTTCCTCATCTTCAGCTACATTGTCAATGGCGTGCTCGAACACCGGGATAGCATGGGCAACCTGGAGAACCTCAAACGCGGCGAGGTGCAATTTACTAGTGCCGGCACGGGAATTCGCCACTCTGAGTATAACCGCAATAAAGAGTCCGAGGTGCATTTCTTGCAGATTTGGGCCAAGCCGAATAAGAGGGGGCTGAAGCCGCACTACGAAACTAAGCAGTTTACCGATCAAGACAAGACTGACAAGCTGGTGCGCATCATGGAGTCGACCGACAGGCTTGAGCAGAGCAAGGGCGCTATTGGCCTTCAGGCGGATCTGAGCATGGATGCGTGCATTTTGTCAAAGGGAAAGAGCGTCGTGCATGATGTTGTTGCCGAGGGGCCGAGGAAACTGTTTGCGCATGTTGTCATGGGTGGACGCACACAGCCAAAGCAAGGGGGTGCACAGATCAAGATTGGCGATTTGGTCCTAGGTGAAGGCGATGGCGCGTTTATTGAGGGTGTCAAGGGTGGCGAGCAAGTCCGGGTGGAAAGCGTGGGTGACAAGCCGGCTGAGTTCTTGCTGTTCGATCTAGGTATGGACGATGCGTAGGTGGGATTTGTTTCTCTCTTTATTCTCTGTCTGGTCGCGAGGTAATAGTAGAGCCAGAATTCCTACCGAATATTTTCATGACAACGTCTTCTCTCTTATCTTCGTTCAACTGTTTCGGCAGTCTTATTTCCTTGTCGGTGCCCTTCTTATACGCGACGGACTCTCGCGATGGAGAAACTGCCGCGTTCCTATCCGACACTGGCTCGCTATACACGGAACTCGCTGCATATGCATAAGGCATTGAAACTACACTTGTCCGTCTACTACAGTCTCGCTGTACTGAACATGAAGGAGCTAGAGTATGATCTTCTTCGTCTATACGGCGGATGGGTGGGGTGGGGTGCAGGGATATGAGGAGGCGAAGGGTGAGGATGATTTGGATGATGAGAATGAGGAGGATGACGATGCAGAGTACTAAGATGATTTCTTGATCCATTGAAGAGGTGCGAAGGGACTGAAATGAATAGAAAGGTAGTTGACCTATTTCACATGGTAAGTTAGGATTGACACATCATTGACAAACGCTGACAGTGACGATGGCATCTAGATCTCGTATTCATCGATACGTGTAACCGCGCTCGTATCGCGCGACGCTGACTAAGTCCCAAACTCTTATCTCCACTACTCTGCTTTTTTGTATCATCACTGAACATCTCGCGTTTGTCTTACACCCATCTCCTCTTTCTCCTCATTTCTTCCCTGCTTCCTCCTTCATCTACACCACCCTCCACACGCATACGTACCACGACATGCGCCACACATCTCGGCCGTCCCCGTCCGCCTTGTCCCGTCTCAGCATAGGTAGCACGTAGAGACTTTCGAGTTAGCACCCTACTATATTCACAGCTGGGCGCCATGAAGCTGTACGACTGACGTCGAGCTACTCGCACGTGGGGTTAATCTATCTCGTTCAGTACAAGACCGTTTGCGCAGCGTGCGGAACGGGTCTCCCTTCCCAATCCGGCCAGCTGGTGAGTCTTAGCGTTTCACGTCCCGTGGGATGGACCTGGCACTTGGGATTTTGCCCGCGCACGGTGCGCCCAAACACCTCGTCTCAAATGCGACAGCCACGCTACATGCGCGCTACGTTTGCAATTACCGCCGCCCTTTGTACCTTCTGTTCGTTTCGCTCATGCGGTAGGTCGACAGCTTCCTGCTATTGACCACTTAACTATGCCAGTCGTGTTCCTGTTTTGCATCAACATGTTCCCTCTGAGCTTTTTCTAAAGCCTTTGTTTTGGTTTTCTTTTGCGCCGGTTGGCATAATGCATCTGGCATGCGCATGTTCTATTGCGATGTTGCGTTCGCAAGAACTCTATTTGTTTTTTTGTCGTGTGCGGCATTCTAGCGCCTACGGTGAGTTGTTGTACGCCTATCAAGCTGGTAAGGCTATCCCAAGGTAAAGCGTCTACTGTAATTGCTGCCTGTTATATTCCAGCCTGTGGGATCGTTCTGGTGAGGTACCCGATCGGTAGACAGCGGCCGAGAGCCGATCGGAAGATACTGACTAGTAAGACGTCTTCGTTCCTCCAAGCCTTTATGCTTGGGAGGACTTGGCGGCCTCATTAGGAAACCAGCGACCCCCCGGTGGGGCGCTTGATCTAGAACATCACTTGTCCGTTTCCTCATTTCACGTACACCAGCTGGGCTTGTCATTGTGCAGCCCTCATTACAGCAACATGGGAAAAGGGAGTAAATGAGTCGCCCAAGTCGAGCTCGCGCTATACATTCGGATATTTTGTCAAGACTATTAACTACCAGCAACAACGGGCAGCTAGGACGTCATTCCTTTGTGAAGACGTGCACATCAAACGCTAGGTACCCTAGCTCGGACGTGTGGTTCTATGCTGTGCATGCCCTGGCTAACAAGGCTGCATGAGCCTCATCCACTCTCTACACCAAACAACTAGAGCAGCCGCAGAGCCCCGCTGGCTTGTGTCCCACAGGCAGCTGGCCGCGCACCCAAGCAGGCCAATGCCATGTTTCAACGGGCGCCCCCATTTAGCTGCGGGAATGCATATAGGTCCCGCCAAGTCATGATCACCTTTTGATTCCATGAACCTCGTGGTCCGACCTCATTGAACCTTTCCTTCATTATTTCGCCTCTGTCCAAAAAGTAATTTCCTCATGTCATTGCCGCTAGCTCGGTCTTCTTGCTGCTCGTCGATTTATTGTCTTTGAGCAAGTGCAGTGCACTTTGATCTATCCAGTTCGACTTGAACACGCCCAAAACAAAACAAAACTGCCAGACGTTTTCACGTCTGATAAACATCGTTTCCATATCGTCATCACATATATCTAGCCATGTATCGAGCTTCATGGCGGGCCTCACGGTTCCAGGACATCGAGGGCAACAGACGTCACACATTATGGCCGTCAGCGCAACCCGGAGACCACGTCGACGCGCTATATATGCCATGGGCAGTCGAGTCTGATCAGCGCGTCGTCAGCGTTTTCGATACAGAGGGTCGTGCGGCACGGATGAGTGCCATGATGGACTCGTCACTCTTCCCCCCTCCATTTCCACAGGCGGGGGGTGCTCGACATTCAGCCTGGATTGGACAGGGCAAAAGAGATACCTGGCTGGAGCGTGACCTTTCTACCAAAGAGCGCGTCTGGACGGGCGAGTTTGACGTGGAAAGACGGCCCTCATGGCAAAGCCATCGGTTTGATGGCCAGGTCACTCTGGCACAGTTGGCCCAGGAGGAGGCGAGCAAGGTGGTGAGCATGGAGACATTTGCTGTCAACTGGGAAGTGGACGATGTTGAGAACCCACTCAACTTTACCGCGGGACGCAAATGGTTCAACGCCATGCTTCTCGCATTTGCTTGCTTCATGGTTTCTATTGCCTCGTCGGGCTTCTCTCAAGGTATGTATGAGGATATTCGGTTTTGTTCGGTCCATCATCTAACTATCTCACAGGCACAGAACAGCTCAAGACCGAGTTTCACATCACTCAAACTACGGCTCTCCTCACTACCTCAGCATTTGTGCTTGGCTTCGCAGTCGGAGCCCTCATTCTCTCTCCTCTGAGCGAGGTCTACGGCCGTCGCGACCTCTACGTAATGACCTTTGGTGCCTTTGTTGCCTTCAGCGGCCTCGTCGGTCTCTCATCCTCGATGAACGTCGTCATTGCCCTGCGCTTCTTCGGCGGCCTAGCCGGATCCTTCACCCAAGCCGTCGCGCCCGCTGTAGTCGCAGACATGTTCTCCGCACAGGACCGTGGCCTAGTCATGAGCATCTTCACCCTCGCCGGACTCGTAGGCCAGAACCTCGGACCCATTGTGTGCGGCTTCCTCGTCAAGGAGTACGGCTGGCGCGCCATCCCCATGCTCATCTCCATTGTCTCGGGTCCCACCTGGTTCGTCCTCATCCTCACATTCCCCGAGACGTACGCCCCCGTCCTCCTCCAGCGTCGTGCAACCAGGCTCACCGCCGAGACGGGCAAACAGCACGACGTCGCTGGCATCGCACCAAAGTCGATTGCGGTGCAACTCCGCGTTGGCGCGCTGCGCCCATGGATCATGCTCATCTACGAGCCCATTGTCACTCTTCTGTCGCTTTTCCTTTCCGTTGTTCACGGCACGCTGTTTCTTTTGTTCGCGGCATACCCCATTGTTTTCCAGCAGGTGCGCGGTTGGCCACAAGGCGTGGCATCTCTTCCTTTTCTCGCCATCATCGTTGGCATCATGATTTCGCTCGTCTACGTCGCCCTCGTCGACCAAAAGCGCTACGCAAGAGTCGTGTTCCGCTGCAATGGCGCTGCACCACCTGAAGCCCGTCTCCCACCCGCCATGCTGGGCTCCGCCGCCCTCCCCATCGGCCTCTTCTGGTTCGCATGGACAAACGCGCCCGAGCTCCCCTTTATGATTTGCGTCTCCGCCGGCACCCTATTCGGCTTCGGCATGGTGCTGCTGTACATGTCGTTGACAAACTACATTGTCGATGCGTACCAAGGTTACGCCGCCTCCGCCCTGGCCGCCAGCACCGTCCTGCGCAGCATCGCAGGAGCCGTGTTCCCCTTGTTCGGCGCAGATCTGTACAGGAATTTGGGAATTCACTGGGCGAGCAGTTTGCCTGGTTTCCTGGCGCTAGCGTTTATCCCTTCGCTGTTTGCGTTTTATAAGTGGGGTCATGTTTTGAGGGGCATGACGAGGTTCGGCGCGGAAGCCGCTAGCATGGCGGGAAGGTAGTTTTAATTTTGTTGCTGCCGCTACCGCACGCACACATAGACAAGCATTTTACGTCATGTTGTGCGTGTGTGTTGTTTTCTATTGTATATAGATGTATGTATATAAAAAATACTTTCTTCCGGATCTTCAAAAGAATTTCTTCTGTTGAGCTCTCTTTCTGTCTCCCCCTTTTTACCTGACTAATTTCCTTGATGCTTGTGCACGGGGAGATCAACTATGAACTTCACAACTGCGGGCCACCTCGTCTCCCTCAACCTCACTCTCGCCAAAGACTGCCAGGATCACCGGTGCGATAGTTGATCAAGGCGTTTCTTGTTTCGACAACGAGACATCCCGTCTGCAATTAATTCTCTTGCCCCACTGCTCTTGTTCGAACAAACGAACTCCTTGGACGGTCAAAGTAGAAGGTCAAACGCGGGCGCGGTTTCGCGTTGAAGAATGGCGTAAGTACAAGAGGTCCTAGTGTAGCATAACGGGTTTGATCTTGTGTGCATGTTTCGAAGAGGTAGAGGGACGTAGAGATCTTGTTTCCGACATAGTGGCTTTCTGGAATACCCCCTCTGCTACCTCACAAAGATACAAAAGTCGCTCAATCTACTTCCAAGCATCTTCCCCCAACGTGCTTGAACACAGGCCGGAAACCGCGTGTACCCAATCTATCACAGACAAATACTCAGGTCGACAAGGTAGGACAAGAGAATCGCATCACACCACAAACCTCTCCCCCAGCGCATAAGTATACCGCCCTCTCTTCTCTACCTTGACTTCCTCCCTACACTTGCCATCTTCATCGAACTTTTCATACCTTGGTAGAATAGAGTTGGAACTGTTCTGTCGTGTTACCGCTGTTGCGGGTCTTGTAATCTCTCCATCACTATGTCTCTCCCTAGCCCTGGCATCGTCCCACCGTGGGGTAGTTGTTGATGAATCGACAGCGTCACCGCCCAACGGCCCTGCGGTGGAGACGCGGGCGTGAGTGTTTTCCCAGCGCCGGAGTATGCAGCGTGTGATTTTGTACAGTATGTATAGGGCGAGTAGGGTACCGATCACGATGACAAGGATCCAGAGGGGTTTTGCTTTTTGCCAGGAGTAATCTTCGGATAGGGGACTGTCTGAGGGCATGGTAGGTTGGGGGAGGGGGTTGTGCGGATAGGAAGGAGGGTATGGGGAGGGGACAAAGGGGAGGGAAGGATATGGGGCAGGGGTTGTTGATAGCGTGAAGACGGTTGTGTTTGCCGCAGTAGCTAGCGAAGTGTGGTGGATGATGGTTTGCTAGAGATTGATGAGGCAATCGGGGATGCTGCTTCCGTTTGCACAAGTGATGTGGGGTATTGATGTAAGTTGGGTATCTTTGGATGCAGCCTCCAAGTGGGAGATTTTCGCCATTCCCGTACAGTGCTTATTTGCTTCGTCATGCAGCCATTGAAGGGCCCGGAGATGATACTAGAGGCCTAAACAGTACTACTAACGTAGGGTTAAAGTTACATTTTTCTAGACAAAAGAGGGTCAAGCGTAAGATATAAAGAAAAAAGATGCTTGCCCCCAAGGGCAAAGGATAAAGCGATGTGCATGTTGCGGGCATGTATTGTCCGGAAGTCGCATGCAAGTTATCGACATGTTCCGTGTAAGTTGTCCGCAAGCAGAGTCCGCAACAATCAAGCGATAGGCAGATTGATTACCGGATTAGGCCTCGAAAGATCACTATCTGGTCCGTGACAGACCTAATCAGGTAATCAATCTGCCTATCGCTTGATTGTTGCGGACTCTGTCCGCAAGTTGCATACAGGTTGTCCGCAAGTTGCGTGTGTGTTATAGACAAGTTACTGGAAAGTTGGCGTTGCCTGGGGGCAAAGGAAGATGCTTGCACAAAGTATTGCCCTCTAGACACCACAGTATACCCCAGCGCAGGCTGTATTATCCCTAAACTAGGCCCTAATGCGCCACTGCCTCTCTTTATCGCTTATTCGGTTACCTCGGCTATATGGCTACTACACTATACCCTTCCTAAGAACACAATAGCACCCTAGCAGTGGAGAAAGTTATACCGTGCTATTAACCCAGCGTTGTGGAGCGCACTAGAATCAGAGGCCGGCGAGGAGAAGGCAGACTTGTCAGCAATCAAGCCGATCTACAGGCTTGATTCCTAATTAGGTGTGCACGTCCCTACAGTAGGCTCGTGTCAACCCTAGATAGGAATCAAGCCGCCGATCGGCTTGATTGTTGACAAGTCTGGGAGAAGGACAAAGAGAATAGAGGAGAAAAGCAGGATATTACTCTAAATGTTGGTTGGCTTTGCACTAAGTGCGGAAAGGGAAATAACGATAACTAGGAATGCATTCTGTTCGGTGGTTCTTCTGATTGTCTACGAACATAGCTGCTACGAAGGTATACCTAAGCTCTGCGCAAGGTGGGCCGAAGTCGGGCCGAAGTGTCAAGCAGCCGACGTCTCTACCGATACTCACGATCCGACACTAAAAACCTCTCGCTTCTTATGCGTGGGGGCATATTAGTTGCATAAGCGCCACCGGCTGTCCCCACTTACAGGGGGTGGCACAGAAACCTTGAAATTTCTCTCGTCTGTTAGTCCTAGACTATTGACTTTTTTGTGCTACCCCCGTGTGCTGTTTTTGTGTGAGGTTTAGGGTGCTGCGTCTTTGCACGCTACGCTAGCGTTAGCCCTAGTAACATAATATATGTAGTATAGTAACGTTAAGTATAGATGTAACTGTGATGGGCTAGAGCCCAGTTGGTGAATCCTCGATGATATCTCGGTCCGAACGACGCTTAGACCATCCGCACAGTCCATAGGCAGAAGGTTATTCCGAGCCGCTCTCCGAATAACTACGCTGGCAAATGGGTTGGGTATACCCAGTCTTGGGTTGGGGTTGGGTTGGGGTCGCACAGACCATGGGTTAGGGTTGGGTTGGGGTCGCACAGACCATGGGTTAGGGCTGGGCTGGGGTCGCACAGACCAAGTGGTAGGGTTGGGCTTGGGTTGGGTTGGGTTGGGTTGGGGTTGGGTTATATTTTTTGGGTACTTTAACGGAACAACACTTAATTAAGATAATGTGTACACGTTGATGATATATTAGATACATAAAACGAGATATATTAACACAGCTAATTATCACGGTAGCGCTGAGGACGCTGGCGCTTTCGAGGTGGCAATTGACGCTCCTCCTGGACCTCTTCCTCCGACTCTTCTTCTGTAGTCTGGTTCTCCTCATCTATATCGAAGGTATGCTCTAACGAGGCTGGAAGCTCAAAAAGATCATTAACCTCGTCAATTGGCTCTCCATCCTCCCCTAATTGAGCAACTAGGTAGTCTAGACCCTGTTCTTCCTCTTGAGATATTGTATCCTTAAGAACCATTATCTGCTGTATTGTCCGGGCAGATAGTCGGTGCCTCCGACTACCAATAACATCCTTAGCAACATTGAAAACTCTTTCAACCCCAACCTGAGCAATTGGTATTGCTAGTATATCCTTCGCCACTTGGGATAGTCTATTAGCAGATGTCTATGATAAACAGCTGTGATAACTTACCAGACTTTTTCTGGGTAAACCGCTTCTCTGAAAGTATATCCCACTCTTTCTCTAGCAGCTTAGCCTGTCTAGCACTATTTGCTAATTTATACTTAGGCTGTTGCAAAAGCGATTTCTTCAGTTGGTACTTCGCGGAGCGGTCGGCTGTTCTAACGCTTTCAAGTACCTTCTCCTCTTTATCGAAAAGAGCTTTGCGTTCACGTTGAGCAATAGCACGGGCGCTACCACTCAGAGAGCCAGTATAGGGGACGCTCAAATTGATAGGTCGGCCTTTTCGTGAACCCCCACTACCTCTTTGATCTAAGATACCGTCAATCTCGTCAGCTTCACACGCAAATCCCTGCTTATATTAGCATAAGCTGTGATAAATGGCTGTGATTATTACATCGGTAAGCTGCTCCCACTCATCTTGTTCGAACCCAGGCGGAGGTTCAAGTTTGATGGCTGGAACTAGGCCTTCAGGTACGTCGCCGACTTGCTCTTTCGCGACAGGCATGGCGGGGACTGTGATAATGCGCTGTTGTAAATGGGGTGTTTTCAATGTAGTAAAGAGAGTTATTAGGTGTTGGGAGTTACTGGGCGTCAGGGGCTGGAGAAATGGGTAGACAGCATTATGCTCACCTAGAAATGGTCCGTGCGCTGCTGCCTGCGCTAGCGCGAAAACGCGGAAATTACCCAAAATGATCAACACATCGATGATTCCTTCATTTTTGGGCTGTACGCATGCGCGAGCTCGGCGTTTATCACAGCAGTTTAACACGTTTGTATGATATGCTCGCTACTGATTTTGCAACAGAAATGGTTGTATGCGATCGTGAAACAGCAAATTACGTCATGCAGTCCGTGCGCTGCTGCCTTTACTAGTGCGGAAATCGGGAAATTGCCGTCGCCCAAACTTTCCAGCTACCTAACTCTTTCAGCCTACTACTTTCTTAATTGTCGACCACATTTATCACAGTAATTAATCACATACGTCGCCTACGTTCATCATCTACTCTACTACGCAATGGCAAGGACAAAACCACGGCCTAAGGTCACCGGTAAAGCCGGCCGGGGTGGTCCTGATGGCAAGACAGTTACTGGCGGCAAGCCGGCTCAGAAGGCCCTTGCTAGTAAGGCTAGACGTCAAGTAGCAGGAAAGTCTACGCGAAAGGCACCTGTAGCTGTTAAGAAGAAGCGCAAGTTTAAGGCAGGCAGTAGGTTATCACAGTCGTTTATCACAGCTATTTTCTAATTTAGCTTAGCTGTCGCATTACGGGAAATCAAGAGATACCAGAGAGGTTTTGAACTACTCTTGCGAAAACTCCCCTTTTCCCGCGTAGTGCGCGAATTTGCACAGGTGCACAAGGCCGATATCCGCTTTCAACGATCTGCAATCGAAGCTCTTCAGGAAGCTACAGAAGCTTTCTTAGTTGGTTATTTTGAGGGTATAGTCTATCTACCCTATACTATTTTTCATTTAATAACTTTTATAGACTGCAACATCAATGCTATTCACGCAAAGAGGGTTACTATTCAAGAGAAGGATTCTCAATTGGCTAGGCGCTACTTTGCGCGCGAGTTACTAGCTTTTCTCTAGATTATAAGATATATCTAGATACACGTGCTTAAATGCTAGCTGGCGAAGCCTCTGTATATTATAAATGAAACTAGTTAATGCTACACTGTGTTAATCTACTGTGATACTATATAAACTTTTCTTTTATTGAAATCTATATTATACATCTTGCAATTTTTTTACTATAACCCAACCCTAACCCATGGTCCGTGCGACCCCAACCCAACCCCAACCCAACCCTAAGCTTGGCGCTGACAAATGGGTTGGGGTTGGGTTGGGGTCGCAAAATTTCTAACCCAACCCCAACCACACCCCGACCCATTTGCCAGCGTACGAATAACCTTCAGCACGAGATAGCTTGTGGTTCTCTTCCCCATCGAATACAACTCCAGTATACCTGTGCGATAGCTCCCCGAGCATTGCCCCTTACACTGCTATTGAGCATGAAATTAGCCTATTGATTCGTCAGAGTAGACTCGTGCGAGGTGCTGGGTTAACTTTTCAAGCGCATGTGGGGAGCTAGACAGATCTAGGTCTTATGCATGTTCGGTTAAGCATCGCGGCATATTCAACAAGTCGATAGACTTCCGTCAAACTAGTTCAAAGCTGGAACAAGACGCTCACCTCTTAGTAAAAGAGCTTCACTGGCCGGTAAGCGGCTCAATATTTCCTCCGTTGTAGTGTCTTAGTGTCGGCGTAGTTAACAAGCTACACAGTCCAGAGCCTCGCATCCCGCATCCCGCATCTGTAGTACTGTACAATCCCTCCGGATCCGCGTGCCAAACCGTATAGTATGTACATTAGTCCGCTGGCTGAGGTAAATCTGAATCGGCAGTTATCTCCGGATTACTTTGGCGCACTTCGTCGAAGGAAACGCCCGAAATGGCTCTTCGCAAAGACTCTCTTACTTCACACCTTAAGTATAGAGCTCTCCTTGCGCAATAGTACTGGTTGCTTTATCTAGTTTCAACTAACTAAATCAACCTCTTATTCAATTGGCTGATAGCTGTCCCGAGCTTCTTCAACTCTACTTCCATCTTTATCTGTTGACCTGCTCAACAAATTCATGGCTATCATCTTTCTTCGCAGCGAAAGCATATCGCGCTTTGAAGTACTTAGCTTGGCTGTAGTGCTAAGCGTATGCTATATTACGTTCTTTGTAAGGCATTATTTCCCTTTCGCCTTAGCGCTATTGCACGCGCAACTAACGCTTTGGCTAATGCATGGATTGTGTATAGCTTCTGCGATGTCTGCTCCTCAGTCCATTAAGACACGTGCCCGGACCTTTCCGGGCCTGCCTTTCAAAATGGCCAATGGCCATACAGGGATTAAAGGGCCGTCGTGTCGGATCGTGAGTATCGGTAGAGACGTCGGCTGCTTGACACTTCGGCCCGACTTCGGCCCACCTTGCGCAGAGCTTAGGTATACCTTCGTAGCAGCTATGTTCGTAGACAATCAACAAGAACCATCACCGAACAGAATGCATTACTAGTTATCGTTATTTCCCTTTACGCACTTAGTGCAAAGCCAACCAACACGTCGAGTATATGTGAGTTCACGAAAACCATCATGACACTATTTCTAATATCTGACAACGCTTCTTGTATAGGAACTTGAGCAACTCCATCGCAAATACGGATCCATTGTCCGCACCGGCCCCAATGAAGTCTCCGTTGCAGACTGGAGACATATACGGACGATGTATTGCAACCTAAAGACGATTTTAAAAGACCCCTCGTTCTACGACGGTGTTAAGATGATCGGAAAGCATAACCTTTTCCAGATGACGCAAGTACGACCATGGTCATAACCAGTAAAGGTTCTAACACTTGTATAGAAACCCTTCCGAGCACGCAGCGCGCCGGAAACTAAGTAGTCCACCATATGCACTTAACTCTATCGCCAGATTAGACCCTTTGATCCAAAAGAACGCGGATACTCTTGTACATCGATTGATTTCTGAAGCTGGTTCTTCGACCTCAGGAACTGCCGATGCATATAGGTTGTGTGCTTTGTTCAGCCTGGAAACAATCTGCAAAGCCGCTTTCGCAAAGGACTTTGACGGGATAGATGGTATGGGGGCCTCGTTGGAGCTCTTGCGTGCTATGGATGGGAGTGCTCTCGTCTTTCTCCCGCAGAGTTTGTTTCCTTTTCTTGGGTCAACTGGTCTTGGCACTAAACTACCAGGCTTCATAGGCAATGCCTATCGCAGTCACCAAATCTGGGAACAACTATCCAGGAACATGGTAGATCACTTCCTGGAAAAATCATCCGCGGACAACAAGTACTTATTGTCTCCCGTCGCTACCGATATCGATACTTTCCTTGGTCGCCGACTAAGCCATGAGGAGCTCATTGAAGAGGCGATGGGCTACATGTTTGCTGGCAGTGGAACTACCTCATCGACGTTGACTTACCTTCTATATGCGCTTTCACTTCCTGAAAATCTTCATGTTCAAGAGCGGTTACGGGACACGATTAGAACGATTCCCGCAGATGACGTTACCGCCATGCGACAAGATCCATACCTGAATGTCGTCATCAAAGAAACCTTCCGGCTCTTCCCAACTATCGTGTCAACACTTCCCCGCATTCTTCTGGAGCCACTTCAATTAGGCGAGTATAGTTTGCCTAAAGGAACGATTGTTGGTATCAGACTCCGCAACAATCAAATCAATCAATCTTAAGGTTGTCGATTGGTTTGATTAGCTTGCGGCGACGCTGCTGATTGATTGCGGATTGATTGTTAGGGTTTTTGAGCAGATTGATTGCGATTGATTGGTTGATTGGCTGATTGATGCTAAGAAGTAGTATACAGGGGGTTATGGTGTTGTACTCCAGCCTTCTATATCGTACTGTTGTACAATCTCCTCATCTTTGACGTCACTCCACTTATCTTCATCATCACCGTTGTTGTACAAGCCGTCAAAGCCAGCTCGTCTCCACGAACGTACAAGCTGAAGGGCAGCAAGTAACTCGCTGCCAAGAGCTCGCCGGCGCGGCTCAAGTAAATCGCCAAGCTCGCTAAAGAGCCTCTCGCAGTCGCAACTAGATGCTGGTATCGTGAGTATATCAATCGCAAACTGGCTTAAACACGGGTATTTTGAGCGTAATTGAATCCAGTACTTGACTGGGTGGCCATCGCTAAGATACTGTTCGCTTGTCCACTCTGGCTCTTGAGTTCTCCAGCGCTCGTACTCATCGTCGTGGGCAGCCTCTACCTGAGCCTTGTTGCGCCGTACGAGGGCGCCAATCACATCATCTATTCCTCTATGCCTTGGTTTTGCAGTTGTTTGAGATAGAGGACGTGTACGTTGAGGCTTATACGACTGCCAGAGCTGCAGGAAGCCAGCGTTGGCTGATGTTAGCCATTCTGGCTTATCCACCCAGCTGTTCTCGCAGTAGTATTTGTAGTATGGATGGAGGCAGGTAGCAGCGTAGTATGCTGGCGATCGATCGAGCTTGTTGTAGTAATCGTTGGCCTTACTCCAGGCGGCGCGGAGGTTAACAAAGAGGTGATCTTCAGGCGCATCAGGTGGGTTGAAGTCAACTTGCTCGTACGAGCGCGTACGGGCTTCGAGCGCGCCAAGTACGTATTCAAATACAGGAATAGTCTCATATATAGCGCCGTATTTGCCTGCCTTTCCGCGACCCTCAAGCTTCTCCGTAGCAAGCTTAAGCGGCTCTAGGCAGTCCTGATACTCTGTTATCACCGCCCAATCAGCAGCTGTAAGTCCTGTTGATCTCATCCAACTAGGTGCTTCAGGGAGTTTATTGCCACGTTGACAAGCGCGGCGATCTTCAAGGGAGAGTGCGTTAATGTAGTGCTCAGCGTAAGAGTTGTATGCTGCCTGGAGTTGAGTTGCGCGTTTGAAGGCAGCGTAGTAAGAGTTCCAGCGTGTAACAACAGGCTTCACAGGCTCAAGTACGTGGAGGCGCTCTCTAGCTGGCAACTCGGCGTTGGCGGCGGTTTGGAAGCTTCGGAAAATTTCGTGTTGTTGAGGCGTTTTTATATGGTTGATAACGTCGATAAGTACACCTAAGGGCCCTTCTTGACGCCACTCCTGCATGTACACCTCCTCTGTTTGGAGCTGCTCGTCGTTGTTGTTGTTATACGCCTCTTGATTGCTGCCAAAGATAATTGCCTGGCCAATAAGGTTAAGCGTGTGAGGGCCGCAGCGGAGGCGTCGGTGAGCAGCGTTGAAGTCGTACGCGTGGGCGAGCGAGGAGACTGCAGTATCGTTGTTTGCAGCATTGTCGAGGACGAAGTAGCCGAGTTTATCACTCCCAATACTGTATTCTTGGAGCGTCTTTTTAATTGTATCAGCGATAGCATCACCAGTATGAGAGCCTGCGAGATGTGGGAGGGCGATGGGGAGATCTTGTATCACTCCAGAGGCGTTAGCAAAGTGTGCAACGACTCCAAAGAATCCACGCTTGCCACCCTTTGTCGTCCAACCATCAAAGCTTATGTGGATCTTGCTTGCAGCTTCTGACAGAGCGCAGACAATCTGTGGCTGCATATATTGGAAGAGGCGCATTGCGTAGGTAGCTACACTGCGAGGACTTACCCACAAAGCTGCCTCTGCCTCTGGGTTTGCAAGGCTAATCATCTCGCGAAAGGACGGCCTTGCAAGTAGCTCCATTGGCAAGTTGTTATCAAGAAGGCAGAACACTGCAACTTCACGAAACTGCTGGATGTTGAAGTTGCCCATCGCGTTGGCAGCCTCTTGAGAGACTGCAACACCAGTCTCCAGCGTCTGTCGTAGAGAGAGTTGCTGCCCTGTTCTTCGAGGCTTCAGGCCGTCTTTTGTAAAGCCATGGCCTCGTTTCTGAGGGCCAAGATGAGCTGCAGCTGAGGAGGTGGCCTTTGATACGTCAAAAACTCCACTGCCGCCAGTGTCAATGACCTTGTGGATGTGGCAGTATTTGCATACAAACCACACTCGATTCTGATCGTAGAGCTCAACAACGCGATATCCATGTTGAAAGATCCAACTCTTGACGCGCCGCCCAGTTGTAAGAGGCTTCATGAACCGAGGGAGGCGATCCCAGTTAATGCCGTCAAAGTTATCGCCATTATCAGGCTCTGTATCAACACTAGCCTCTGTTGTTGCTGCTGTACCAGCCTGGCTGCCCTCAGCCGCACCCTCCTCCTCTGTTTGCGACTCGAAAAATTGCGACTCAAACGTTGTGGCCTGGCTTACGGCGGCGCCAAGGGTTTCCTGAGGCGACAGCGATCGCTGAGTGTTACGAACCTAAGGAGAGGACACAGTGCAAGATATGAAGGGCAGAAGGATGGAGACCTTGTCGGAATCCCTTCTCAGACAAAGGCGTACAAAGGTGTACAAGGACCAATGACGTAAGCCTGCCCCGCATCCCACAAAGCTTGGCGGAACGCCACCATGGGACATGTCACGTGTGTCCCAAGGAATCCCACGATGTACCGCGATGTCCCACGCATGGGACAGTGTAGGACAACGTAGGACGTCTAGGACATAGGACATTCGCTAGTATATAACAATAGGCAATGAGCCCTTACGGTTCATTGTGTTCAACTTCGAAATCTAAGGATTAGTACTTGATTCTCAACTCCCTGTATATTACATCGATCTACCAATCGTGCTATACACCCTCGTGTCCATCGCATCACTCTATCCCCGAGAACCAACCCAAGATCATCTTCGGACGACCTTCACACTGAGATAGGACAGAGGGCCTTGATAGGCGCGCCCGTTTGGCGGCGGCGGCGGCGGCAGCAGTATTGGTGGGAACTCGAGAGCGTTTGGCCATCGTGGGCGATACTAAACACTAAAGAAAAATGTCTGTATAGGTAGCTAGGCAACTAGTGTTGTGTGTAAGGGATTATTAGGGAACTGAGTGAGCGAAATCGTTGTTGTATTAAGAACAGCGAAGGACTAGCTATATAGGTGCGGGGTGAAGCCTAGAAGAGGCTAGCCCCTAAGCAGAAGGAGCTAGTCCTATAAGAGGAGAGCTAGCTGGTGAGAAGTGAATGCATAGAGACTGGCTTGCCCGGCCGACAGGGATCACAAGCTAAGCGAGATAGGGGTCCAAGATAACTATCTTCAACACCAAAAACCTTCTCTTAATACGACACTACTCGCCTTACAACTCGTTAATAATAAATCAATCTAACTAATCAAATCAATCAATCTGACCTTCGCAAGTTGATTTGATTAGCTATTTTGAAAAGCTTAGATTGAGTTGATTGAGTTGGTAAAAACTCCAAATGACCAATCAAATCAATCAATCTGACCAATCTGGATTGATTGTTGCGGAGTCTGGTTGGTATGCAAAATTGGCTACACCACAGGGACCCTACTATTTTTCCAACCCCCGATCGGTTTTTGCCTGAACGATGGATTCTACCTGACTCTGCTTCTCATGCTCAGGCGATGGAAGGATCCTTGACTCCTTTTAGTGTCGGTCGTCGAAATTGCGTTGGGCAAAACCTAGCATGGGAGGAGCTATATATAGCAGTAAGCACAATCATGCGTGCAGGTCTAAAGCTGTATATTGGTCCAGAGATGCAACCATGGGAAATGGAGATTGAGGATCGGCTCAATATTGCTCCAAGAGGGCATAGATTAATGCTTCATATTACTAGAGATAAGTAAAGAGTTAACGTACCTGACTACTAAATAGCGCATACTACTGAAATATTATAATGTAGTTGATTATCGCGTAGGTTACGGCGGATGAGAGGTGAACGACACACTCGGGATCTGTGCACTGACCGACAGCGGCGGACATTGGTGTAGGTAGCGGTTCGGGCACCAGGGTTTCGCAGCGCATAGCCGCTTCACAACGCTACGCCACTACAGAAGTTCTGCTGAACTGCAGTCAAAGACCCATAAACCAGCTGGGTTCATAGGATGTGTTCACTAGGGTCGTAGACCGATATGGCATCTTGTCCTGCTAACGTGTTGAGCTCCGTGTGTAACAACAGAGCGATTGCACTGATGCCCACAGCAGACACAGTGTACTGTAGCTGAAAGATTGACGACTGTATCTCACTATAACACCAACTCTGCTGCACCTACCTCGCTCAGGCGCTGCCATCGTACGAAAAGCTTAGCATGACACACTTTACAGATGTGCTTTCCCCGGATATTGGGCCGCGGAACGACTAAAAATCTACCTGTACATCTAACGTCTAACTTCTACCTCTAAAGCCTAAAGTCTACCTCTTCTACAACTGTATCAACTTACAGGCCGCGCCCTAAGATGTCCTTGGACGCCGTCACCACAACACATGTGGTCCCCGTTTTGCAGCGCTGCAGATCACGAAGTAGCGGTCGATATTCGGGGGCACATCCATTTTACCACTCTTACATGCATGTGGCGTGAGTACGAAGATGCAACCTCACACTCGTGATAATGGGGAAAGACGCTTTTCTCGTCGCGACAAATGGGAAGTGGCGGAGCCTATGTCAGATGGGTACACAATCTTTACGAGACTCGGTAGCTCATTATTTTCCAGTTTTTACCCACCATTGCCTCAAAATAGCACAATATCATCTTTGCCGTTCGTCTGTCACCCCATAATGATTGTGCTATGGCCGTGGGAGTTATGGGCGCTTTCTTGGTCCACTGCAAGAACTTTTATACCGATATCGCGACTATCCGAGCTTGAACTGATCTCACACTTGGGTGTACTACATGTTCGGATTATCTAGGGACGTTTTATGACAACAAAATGTTGACGCTTCATACAGAAATGTAGCTGGTCTATCAATCTACGCTTAACAGGCAAGACAAACAAAAAAGGATCATAAAAGGGAGACCAAACGGTGGCTAGATCTGTAGATTATTGGAGCTCGGGTAGCGTTAGATAATTGACTATGCAGACTGTCATTTTCCCCCAAAGGAACTGTGTTGATCAGGGACAGTAGAGATGGTGCATGGCCCGCTCTGTACCTATCGGATTCAAGGGCAACGCACTCATGAACTTTGGCCCCGTAGTGCCCAGTGCAGCTCGTATGTCTTACCAATCCTGCAGATCAGTGAGACGGTAATTCGTTGGGACCAACGAGGTATTTGTCGACGGCAGCAGTTGCTCCCGAACAGCATATGGGTAAGCTCGAATTGCGTTTCGTCTTGACAAGCGGTGTGTGCCCGGAAACGTGTATCGTCGGCTGATTTCCAATGTGTCGGTATTCACTCAGCGCGCCGGCTGTAGCGCGCAGTCATTGGTGAAGTCTGGAGAAAGAAAAAAAGCTTCTTCAAAAACTTGTATAATGGCTCCTGTAAAGTTGTAATTGATTGTTTGCGAGTGACGTATGAGGGGTATTTATAGTACACAACGATCATGAGTCAAGTCTCTTCACATCGTATACGAGTTGCGGATACGAGATATTTTGGGGCCTCAGAATTGGATAGTGCGAAGGCCCAGGCCACGATGGGAGAGTGTAATGAGGTTTATGCGCAATTGCGAGAGACGCTCTAACCACAAGTGTGGTCGCACATGCGATTCTAAAAATAGGCTAACGTCTGTCGGGGGATTTAGCCGATGTCACGTTTACTGCGGTAGCATCGTATTTCCGCTTCCCCAAAATTAATAATTGGGGCTTTGCAGGGTCCTAGCAGGGGCGACCTAACCCCTACAGTGCGAGATCTACGGGCAGCACCTACCCCTCTGAACGAGCGATTTCTGGTTGGGTCTAGGTACACTTGTCACAAGGCCGAGATGCCGAGATGCGACCTTATACGAATCGCGCATGGGCCTTTCACTCCGTCATCGCACTATGATGAAGTAACCTGAAGCATCGAGGAACGGTATATAAGGGAGGCACTCTACGGCTCCCAAGTCGACATCCAACCCAATCTCACCTCATTTGCCTTATACTCCTTTCACTCGCTCTCGCACCAAATCCAATCACCATCCTAACAAGATAATTCAAGATGGTTTCATTCGTCGCTCTTCTCGCCCTCTCCGCGTCTGCGCTCGCATCACCCGTCGCCCTCCAGGAGCGCGATACGAACATCCCCAACAACTGGTACTGGAAGGTTCTCAAATGGGATGCTAGCTGCATCCGCTCTCTGTGCACTTACCGCTTCGACGTGACAATTCCGTCTGCGGACAACATCGCAGGCGTCTCGGCAAGATGCTCAGGCTATGAGAATGGTGGTTACAAGCTCGAAAACTGGTACGCGGACTGCGACATCGTTTCGGGCCCCAAGAACAACGGTGTCGCGGCCAAGCTCAGCACCAGACTCGGGGACAGCGACAGCAACCCCTCGCAGATTTTTGTCAGCTTCGTACAGGTTGGAGATGGCAAGACAAGGTGAGTCGCACTTTTGCTTTATTTAGTTCTGTTTGTGAATGGCCTGCTGACAAAATCTAGGCCTACATTCAACTACACCGGTAGGGCCGACGTTATTTACCCCCATAGCCTCTTCGATGTGGGCGAGTTTGATATCGTGGCCGAGAACGCCACCGCCATATTGTAAATGAGGCATACGCAGAAGACATGGATAGGAAAGGCGCAGATTGTGTAAATATAGGACGCGCAGCGGACGTGCAGACAGGGGATGCATAGAACATGTGTAGATAGAGAATGCCTGGAAGTTGTACTTACCTTTCTTCTTCGAACTTTAATTAAAATTTGGTGACGAGGCGAATTACTCTGATTCTCTTACGAAACAGTGCCTCGTGCAATATTGAAGCGACTCCCACCCACCAAGAAAGTCGATCTAAGAAAAGCGACGTACTTTGAGCATGACACGTTCGGCCCGTGCCATGGTATACACGTAGGCTATCTTGTTGTCCACGATGGTCATTAGGAAAGGCGATGGAGCCTGGATTGGTACGCGTTAACGATCACACGTAAGTGGCAAACATCGCCAGCGCCTGTGATGGAGAGCATCTTCTGGTAATCGCGGCAATGATGGAGCACGCGCAGACTCGTTGTTCTTTCCGGGGCTGTTATAGAGGCTGTCCAATAGCCACTAGCCTGGATGTGGAGCAGCCAGGACCTCAGGGATTTTACGACGCTGCGACAAAAATAGCTCAATCGGCATCGCGCCACACCACATCAGCTCGCAAATCTCTGGGGACAAAAAGTGTGGGTTTCCAAGATGAAGTGGAGGTGGCCTGAACGCTCATTCTGAGATTCATTTGGGGTTCAATTGACATAGCACCTGGGTGTCATAAAATACTGGACAGTGTGGGTAAGCACCTAATAGACGTGTCTGGCGACTACAGTGGCTTTTTCACACTTGTATGTCCAGTATTTTATGACACCAGGGTGGTGGTAAAGTAGGGGGGGAGCGCATCAGGAATGGTGGGAAACGCGACAGGTGTTCGCCAAGCCCGCCGCCCCTCTCGGAGCAATAGCGGCTCAAACCGAGCAATCAGTCACCCACTCAACCGACATAACCTACACCCACCTATCGCCCTTCATTCTTCGAAGAAGGCGCTTACAAGTCATTTTCTGAATACGATCGCACAAGAATTCAAACAAAGTATCATGTATATCTAATGATTTTGGGAGCTCTAGGGATTAGGACTAAACTATAGTCCTAGCAGTAGCCCGTCCGCCTTGGTACTTTAGTTTGGGGGGTTTGATACTGGTCGACCAGCACGCTTCTCAGGGAGAACACCAGCGCGTTGCGCAATCTTTTTCCCTGCATCAGATATCTTGGAAATATCCGAAACAATCGTATTGCCAGAGATAGTTGGCCCAGTCTTGCCGAAATTACCAGTAATGGTGTTGTTTGCCGTGTTGACGCCGTTGCGTGCATACCAGATGCCGTTTGAGAGGAAGATATTATCTTGAATGAGGTATGAATTAGAGCCTTCGTCCGTGTAAGCACCGAAGCCGCTAGAATCAAAGCCATAGTTCTCAACGATATACGTCGACGGACTCTTTGAAAGAGTGTATATTGCGCCAAGGTCAGTGTGTGAGTACCCGTAGCCGTGGACCAAGTTACCCTCGATGCGGTTGTTCATCGACGTTGTCGGAGTCGTGTACTTTGGTTGATAGTTGTATAGTCCGCGGTTTTGGTACTCCGAGCTACCTCCAGCATCGTTAGATCCCCAGCCGTAGCCAATGCAGATGCCAGTGTAAGGAGTCATGTAGATGTCGTTATGCGAGATGAGGGAGTTCTGAACATATGTGGCGAGAATTGGCACTGTCGAACTGAATAGCGACGAAACATTGTAAAAAATGTTGCCGGATATCTCAATGCGCGAGTTCGTCATGCGTGCGTCGCTTGGATGATGTGCGTCGGCTCGAATACCGCCGGCAGTAATGCTGTTGCCCATTACCTGCGTAAAGTAACCGTCTTTGATCGCAATATTGTTTGCTCCAAGCCCAGTACCAGTGATATGGGCATTGGCATCGTTGCCAATACCGATACCCCCAGCGCCCATCATTGCGTAGTTTCCACCAGAAAAGACAATGTTTTTAGCTGCGCTGATCTGGATTGCAGATGGCATTTGACACCAATTGGGACGGGTAGACTCAAAGTTGGAGGAGTCATACGTCTTGTCTTCACAAATGCTGCCTCCCGTCTGCTGATCTATATATCCGATGTTGGCAGGTTGCAGCCATGTGGTATGAGCCTGTGATTCATGTCAGAGGTGACTCTATACAGTAGCCTGGGCTCAAGCTTACAAAGTTGAGATCCTGGAACGAGATGTCGTGAACGGGATCCGCGTAAGTTCCGCCAATCACAATGAGCGTTTCAGAAAGACCCAAATACGTGTCTACACTTGCCATGTTCTCCCCAGAGAGCGGTTTGTAGTAGATCTTGCCAGCAGCTGAGTCAAGATAAAACTGGCCACCCTCTGTCAGGAGTGCCAAAGCATTCTGCACCCAAACACCAAAGTCCGCATTGTTCTTGTTAACAGTATCATAGCCCCAAATCTGGTTGTACCATGTGTTTTGCTTCATGATCAACTGTTTGTTTCCAACCGATCTGATAGGTGCGTAGCGGTCTGCGAAAGAGTTGATAAAGCGGATCTCTGCACCACTTATCCCTGGGGTAGAAGAAAGCCAGTCGTATGTGCTTGAAGTCCATGTCATACCAGTACTCGTGTAAGTGAAGTCTTTTCGGTTTGCGATCTTCTTGCGTGCGTAGTTGGAAGCTTTCCCATTGACGTACAAGTTTCGCGATTTAAGGCCCACCGGAACGTTTGCGGAGTAAACGCTATTCGATCCCGCTGCCCAGTTGGTGATCTTGAGTCCACCTGATATGGTGGCACCCGTCCCAACCCATTTGACAGTGACACCATTTTTGCCGGAGTCTTCGGATGTGAACTTGAGGGGCGCTGGAAGCGTATATGTACCCGCACCAACGTGGACAGTGATGTTTTCGTTAGCCGTCCTAGCAATCTGATTACGAACAGCTTGCTGCGCTTTAGTGAGGGTTTTGAAAGGCGCGGCTGCTGTTCCTGCATTATTGTCCGAGCCATTCGGAGAGACATACAAGTCCACTGCGTGCGCAGTGTAGGCGCAAAAGGTGATGCAGAGCAAAAGAAGCTTCGAGTGCATGACTGGTCAAATTCTAGCCACTGAAACTGGGTATAGGTTGGAGCCATCAACCTGACTCTCCCCGGTTTTCATACATTGCGCCGGCAAAATTTCGTATTTTCTTCGTCAATATACCCGTAGTCATACGAATTCTTCCTGATTGCGATGATCAGAAGTGCGGGGAAGACCAAAGTACAGTCATGACCAAAAAGGGGTCACGGCAAAATGATAGCTAGCGTACGGATATCGGAGAGTTTTGACGTGACGCGCATGGCGGAGGAGTTCGTTGCGGGGTAGGAGGCGTAGGAGGCCCGCGCTTGCCCCAAAGCGAAGTTGATTGGTGGTAAACGCTCAATTCTCGTACATCGTGCGCAACGCTTTAAGCCGGAAAGCCGCTATACCTTTGCCGTCTACTGGCTAGGTATCAGATCTAGAATAGAAGGGGTGTTTTGCGATCTAATTACTTCTGCGAATAACCCCTGAGGGCACCAGAGGCTGGATAAATTATACGCCCCACACACATATGAACAAGCATCCTTGATGGCACATAACGATAGTTACTCTCTTGTTTAGTGCGACCCTGGTTCCACAACTTGTTTTACCCAAACAGCCATCGTGGAACGCGACACAATGAGCGAATAGCACTTGTCGATTTTTTGAGAAATATTGAGCACTTGTAATGAGCAAGTAGAGAGCTTAGAGTGGTTGTAATATCGGATATGATGATGCAAACGATCATGTTGTTCTAAATCCACAGGTATTGGGCGTATATAATATGAAGTCATCTCTTACAAGTAGCTGTGGTGTGTCAACGTTCTTGACAAATCGAAATGTTCTATCTTAGATCTCTCACTGGTGCCGTGCTCTTGGGTGTAGCCTCGGTGTTGGGCGCACCAGGATATTACCAAGACTGTAAGTCTTACTACCAGACAACCTATATGAAAGGATGAAACGCTCATATAGCTTTTCTTCCTTAGTTTCCTAAACTCACCTCTATAATCGGGCCTCTGTACGTCTTCCTACCCCTGACGTAGTACCAAAAAATTGCGAAAAGAACAGTGCCCCCAAATGTGACTGAGCTGAAATTCATAGACTGTGCATCGACCTCGACCGATCCTGGCCAGAAAGAGAAGAACCAGAGGACAAGGAGGTAGCAGCATGCGAACAGGTTGTTGGCCACCCCGAAGATACCCGGCACCTTCCAGGGACCCCATTGCAGGCTATCTGGCCCCACCAGCGCCGCGTGCGCGTTGTATGCACTTATGCCCTGCAGGCGTCTCCCGAGAAGCAAGGAACACACAATGAAGTAGGATGCGTAGAGGCCACCAATGCTGAGGTTGACGACATTACTGAATGCGACGTATGACCCGAGAGCGATAAAGGATAGCAATATCGAGATTGCAGCTGTGATGAAGATGGCTGTGACAGGAATCCGTGTCTTGGGGTGGACCTGTGCGGACAATCAGCTTCAGCAGCGCTTGTGAGCTCAGCGGAAATCATACCTTGGTCACCTGCGACGAAAACGGGACGGCATTGTCTCTTGCGAAAGACCACATCTGTCTGGAAGTAGCGGCCATGAGACCGACAAGGCAGCAAACACCCAGAAACCACATGAGCAAGGCCATGGTCATAGCACCACCAGGCGATCCGGTGCCCTTGAGGAACACGTAAAGATACGCATATCCGAGGGTCACTGAGTTCTCCAGGACGTCTTGCAGATTGCCGATACAGAAAAGATAGGCCACCATCATGGCAAGGCCGAGAGCACCGTTAAGGAAGACGCTGATCAGGATAGCTCTTGGTACTACCCTCGACGCATCCTTGACTTCTTCAGCCATCTGTGTTGCGGTCAGTATGTACATGATGTACTTGTTCATTGTTTGGACGGCTTACATGGACACATGAGTCAACACCGACAAGCGCGAACACAGACGATGGTAGTCCGACCATGAAAGAAAGGCCTTGAGTTGACCAGCCACCTGAGTTGACAAATGTGGTGAAGATTGATGCATCGCTGTGTCTGGTTCGCGGGCAAGTAAGTTAGCACATCATTCACATGTCTCTTAGGCGGATGTTTGCTTACGGTGCTAGATAAACCAAGGGAATGAGAATGGCGAAAAATCCAAGGACGTGGAGTATCAAGATCAACCCTTCAAAGTGAGCAAGCGTCTTGCTACCAACGGTATTAATGATCACCGCGAAGGCGAGGACTGTCCATCCGAGCAGCATAGCCTGGTACGGCTTGGGGGAATAATCAGGGTGCAAGATCAAAACAACGCTCTGCAATATTGATCCACCAAGGTACGCCGACGAGGCAGTTGTGGCTTGCCATCCAATCAACGTTACCCAACCGGTGATGTAACTTAGAAACTTCCTGGATGAAGGTGGAGCCAACATGGCAACCCAGCTGCGGACGGGTCAGCGGCAAGAAAGGATTGATACACGGGTTCAGCCGCTCACTGGTATTGTCCACCTGCGGTTGGTGCCATGGAAGCCAGCTCGGATAGTACCGTATAGACTGAAATGGAGCCGATCCATATAAGGAGATAACCCCAGAAGACACCAGCTGGACCACCGTTCAGTAGACTTGGCGTAGAAACACTGAGGCACAGTCAATGAGCAGGGTCCCTATTGTCTTGGCTTCATTGCCTAAACTCACGAGAGGATGCCCTCCCAGGTCACCAGTACGGTACACGAGAAGCCCAGGATCTGCATGAAGCCAAAATTGCGCTTCAGAACTGGCTTTTTGCCCAGGCGAACCAGGTCTCTCTCGTCTCGAGTGTACCCATCCTGGTCGGCTTCTACGACAGAAGCGTCGATTGCTTCGGCTTTCCGGTTACTGAGTTCCATAGCTACAGTTGCTATGCGTAGAGGGAAGGAAAAGGACTGTCAAAGACAAAGGGGTAATTTGCGACTCGTGCGAGGCATAAAGAAGGTATACCCACTGTGTGATGAGGGGGAACTAACCTCTTTCATGCTGTCAAAGTGGTGCCGTTACCGACGTCGGATGTGCGATGACCAGTCTAGATTAATCCGCCAAACGCATCGTTCAGGTTAGATGCCGTGCCGCAAAGCTGCAGTAGTATGCTTGATAACGTTCCCACGGAGTTGTAAACGGAAGGCGCCATTCTGCATGGCCGCGACTGCATCCACATCTCGTGACAATCTGCTGTTATCATGACTGCGACATGTTCCCTGGAACTTGACAGGATTTCCACCCCTTGCATGTCAACAGTCGAATCCTTGAGCAAACGGAGATCATTTCCATTGTCGCATCCCACGGGATGATAGTGATAGCCAACCGAGATGGCGCGGCCACGACGACAGTCGGAGTGGCGGCCATGTTCGCACCGAGCCGCGCGCTACGTTAGCCTAAGTTAGGGCCAAAAATGCGCCGGCGCTGGTTCACAAGCCTCGACGCCTGATGCATGTCATCTTTAGACACTATCCTGCGGGTTTTCTGCCAAAGTTTCAGGACACCTTCTTGTGCGAACTGGTGTGTGGGCAAGACGATTCCGCGGGGATGCGACACAAATCTCCTACTTAAGCGACATCCCCGCCGCGTATGCGAAAGCGGTTGCATGCGTCTGTGCTATTGCGGCGTAGTTAATGGGGGTCATCTCAAAACTCCAGAACGATGATCTATTTGCACTTGTGGACGTACACCCGAAGGCCTATGCAGCGTTGCAGCGGAACTCTCGTTGCACATACCTGGCTGGGGGTAAATTCAGCTAAGAATATGCAGAAATACTTGCATGGAAAGTCTTGCGGAAGATGATGCCAATACCCAGCTATACGGTCACTCGCAAAGGGCTCAGGTTATAGTGTGATGAGCATGTGTTGGAATGAGGCACAGAGATAACGCATGGGAGGTATGGTCTTCGCTACTACCTCGTTCTCACGGACTGCACTACCATCGTGTTCGTGAATACCAAAGTTCCCATCTCGAAACTACCACCATGCTACTCACACGAGGTCCAATGGACGTTGGGAAGCCTCCAGCCTTCAATGAGGAGCACGCGTCGCCCTTGATCCAAATTCTTGCTTGGTTGTTTCTCTCCTTCTCGATATCGGCTGTTGTAGCGCAATTTGCGACAAAGACGGCTATGTCGAAGCGTCTTATCGGAGCCGACTACGTTCTCCTGGCTGCATTGGTAAGCCGTTGGGCGGCAGAGTAGTGACCTACGATTGACACGCCATATTAGGTATTAGCTATAGGACAGTCCGCGGCTCTGCTTAGTCCTGCTGGCCAGGTGATTGGGAACACAGAAACTGGTTTGTCGAGGGAGACAGTTCTTCGTGCTTGGAAGGTGAAAACTCCTCTTCTCTGTCCGAGCACCACGCTAAGAGTAACAGGCATTATACAGCGCGGAAATCCTCAGCGTGATGTCGCTAGTTGCAGCAAAAGGCTCACTACTTATCCTTCTGGACGCTGCAACCCCCTTCACCACACATCGGCGGATGCTGTACGGTACTAGCGCCATCACGGTGTTTTGGGGGTTGAGCGCCGTGTTTCTCATCGCGTTCCAGTGTCCATCACAGCATCGTTCAAACATCACCAACCCGCAATGCATCGACATAGTCAGTCCCGTTACGCACGCCATCGTTATCTCAGACTAAAAAATGGCAGCGTGCAGTACGAATCTTTATTGCCTCTATGAACATAGTCACCGACCTTGCCCTTGCCATCGTACCGACCTTAATGGTCCTTCCGTTGCAGCTTTCTCCCGAGAAGCGCCTTACCCTCTTGATAGGCGTCTGGTCTCGTATAATGTACTTCTCACGTTTGCACATCTACTCAAAGAGAGAAACGTCACTGACTATATGAAACGCAGCGTCATGTTTGCTTGTGCGGGCCAAGTTTACTACATCTACGCATTGCCGCCGAACGGCGACCTTCTCAATGCAATATGGCGCGTAGTTGTTGCTGGACAAGTTATCCAAGTCGCGAGTATAATGGCGTCTACAGTACCGTTCCTCAAGCCGTTCATGATGAGTCTTGATTCAAGCCTGCTTGGCGCAAACCGTGCGGGTGTCACAACTACTTAGCTCGAAACCCGAAACATGATCGGCATAATTATTTTACACCGAACACCTGTCAACATGTGGTTTCTATATCATGCAACCCAAAGTTGCTATCGTCGCTAGTATCTTTGATGCTGTTTAGCGCGCATTGAGATGCATGGGCGTCAAACTGAGGCAAACCTGGGCAGAGCCTCAACCTTCTACGCCACCGCGCCTTAATCCACTCGAAACAACAACACCGTGCTGTCAAAGCGCCTAGAGGCAGTATCAATGCAACCATCATGACTGCATTCCTCGCGCAGGCTTTCAGAAGTATATCAGGCGACCTGATGTCTGCTAGAATTGGAGCATCATCCAGCATCACTTCTCTTCAACAATCCAGCAGTCTGTGACTCACTTCTACATTCATCCAAGTTTTCATTTCCACAACAACAATTCCCATCTCTTCACTACCATCAACATGCACTGTAAGCTGCCCTCTTTGTTTCTTCGAGGCAAACATTCGATAACTAACATCTTCTCAGTCTCCACCGCTCTCACCGCAACCGCCCTTTTCGTTGCTGCGTCCGGGGCTGCCATTTCTGTCGATGGTTCCGTCAAGCTTCCCAAAATCCCATCCATCCCCAAGATCCCAAAGGTTGGGGTCAATGTTGGCAAGCGAGGCTCAGCTTCAGTCTATCTTGATGCTTCCGTCGACCTTCCCAAGCTTCCATCTCTTCCCAAGATAAACATCGGCAAGCGGGACCCGGCTTCAGTCTATCTTGATGCTTCCGTCGACCTTCCCAAGCTTCCATCTCTTCCCAAGATAAACATCGGCAAGCGGGACCCGGCTTCAGTCTATCTTGATGCTTCCGTCGACCTTCCCAAGCTTCCATCTCTCCCTAAGATAAACATCGGCAAGCGGGACCCGGCTTCAGTCTATCTTGATGCTTCCGTCGACCTTCCCAAGCTTCCATCTCTCCCCAAGATAAACATCGGCAAGCGGGACCCGGCTTCAGTCTATCTTGATGCTTCCGTCGACCTTCCCAAGCTTCCATCTCTCCCCAAGATAAACATCGGCAAGCGAGACCCTGGACTAACCCTTGTCGACGAAGACGGCAACGAGATCCGCGCTAAGCGAGACCCTGGTCTCACCCTCGTCGACGAAAACGGCAACGAGGTTCGCGCTAAACGAGACCCAGAGGCTATTTCCCTCGAGCTTCCCAACATCCCCTCCATTCCCAAGATCCCCAATGTCGACATCAATGTGTCCAAGCGTGCCGTCGGCTTTTCAGCATGATTTGAATGAAGGATCAAATAGCTGCCTGCCTCATCTACATCTTTCACTACAGCATCGCAAGAGACCCGGGGCCGTGCGACTGTTGCACAGATGACGGTGCTTTTCAAGGGATGGCAGCTTCAAGTAGATCGGTGAATCTATTCCAGCTCGCAAAGTGGAACAAGTCAATTGTGGTTAAGCTTTGAATGACGCATCAGGGCTGTGCTGGCTCTCAGCTCTCGATAGCTTTACGAGATAACGTCTGAATTACGTAGCCATCTAGCGAATCCCAACTCATTATGACCAACTTTGACTATACTTGCCTGAATACTCTGATTGTGCGGGAGATCTATGCATTGTTTCATTATGCGAGGTCTCACGATCTTGCAGGGGGGTGGGGGGCTGTATTCATGGCAATGCTCGGCATATGACGGCAGCATTTGGCGAATCCGGAAATAGCGTCATAGATCTTAGATACGTTAGCCTTATAATGTTAAAAGATAAGCAACGTACCGAAATCTTGTAGGTTACGTCAGCATCGTAGTATCTGCAGGTCGTCCCATCCCATTTTCCCTTAACGTCGCGAGGATAATCAGGGAAGGTGACTCCCGTGTGAGTCTCGCAACAATCCTGAATGACACCGTGCGTATCTTCTTTAGAACCTGTACCGGTACAGTAGCAAGAATTCCACTATACGTGGTGAGTTAGTCTAGTAGTCATATATTATTATATATGTCGGATCGTGAGTATCGGTAGAGACGTCGGCTGCTTGACACTTCGGCCCGACTTCGGCCCACCTTGCGCAGAGCTTAGGTGTACCTTCGTAGCAGCTATGTTCGTAGAGAATGAATACTGTGGTGTAGTAGCTTGTCACGTGTTCGGCGTTAGGTAATCGGCGCTAGGGTTGAGTATTTTAGGACGACTCCGCGTAGAGGAGCTCGACAGTTATCGTACACCATTCTTAATACTACCGTTTATTGTTCGGATACCTTCTTGTTCTCTACTCTCTACCGATTGCGGGTCGGCAGCCTCTCTTCTGACTATTGAGGCTATCCCTCTACCACATTTTTGGTGACCTAACCAGGGGGACACGACGGTCTATCGGTGGAGTAGTAGAGAAACCTCTTTGTTTTACCTGTTTTCGAGGAGAAGTCGGAGGGGCAGAGACCCACGACGAGTTTTCGGGGACCCCATTGAACTCTGAGCGCTTCTCGATAAAGTTTGCCAAGGCGGCGGAACTCTCGGGGAGTCTCTACGGTGTCAGCGGAGCGGTGTGGTAACCTGCAGAAGGACTGCAGAACCGGCACAACGTACAGCCGAATAGGAGTAGGCGAGAGCGTAACGCCCAGTGCTAAGGAGGCACTTTCACCAAAGCGGTGAAGGGACATCGGAAGAGAGGGAAGGAACCTGTCTCAGAGAGGCAATCGGGAGTCCGGAAGCAGCGGATCTGTATTCAGAACAAGAGAAGAGGAATAACGTTTAGTGTCCAAGACACAGTCAGAGCAGGTCTCTTTTATCGAATAATATGCCGTCCGAGACGTCTTCAGCACAGAGCGAGGAGCCTGTGTCAATCCTAATGGCAGAGCCTGGACAACCTGCAGCCCGTGACTCTTATCGTCAGTACCTAGGCAAGCTAGAGCCTCACGATGTGCACGCGCCACGCTTTGATGGAGAGAACATTTCAGAGTTCTTAGACGAGTACGACTTCGAAGCTGATCGAGTGGGCTGGCCAGAGGAGCTTCGGAAGAAGCAGCTACCATACTTCTGCACACAAAAGTATAAGGCGTTTATCCGAAAGTTGCCAAGCTACTATGGGATAGAGAGCTACCAGGAGTACAAGGAGGAGCTTCGAGAGCTGTATGCGGGGCAGGATGAATTTCGGCAGAGAGGTACCCGAGCGTTCATCGAAAACTACGTGAAGGAGGTGCAGCGACGACAACCTGCGGTCCGAATTGTCGAATATTACCAGAACTTTGTGACCTACTTTGCAGCTGCGGAGAGCCGAGGACAAGTCGCAAAGCTTGAGAAAGGACACTTCTTCTTCCGGGGCCTGGCTATAGAGGACATGGAGCGAGTAATGCACCACATGCCGAAGGATGATCGGCCGCGTCTAGACGACGTCACCTCGTTCAAGATTGAGAAGATCTACCAGTTTGTCCGTGAGCACCAAGCGCAAGAGGAGGGGTTGAGTGCCCTATACTCTGACTACAGTTCGACAAGCCGGAGACTAGCCCGCCGCGATGCAGGAGTAGTAGAAGAGTCTATCCCGACATTCAAGAGACCTTCAGAAGCCCCTCGGCAGAGTGTTCCGGGGATCCTTCCAATTGCTGCTCAGCCCGACAAGGCAGCTGCTCCGAAAGTTGATCAGGCTGTGGAGGATCTAATCCAGCGTTTCCAAGGACTGTCGATGACTATAGAACAGTTCAACGAGATGGCTGAGGGCAATATTGGGATCCGAAGACTGTTCGCTAAGCCAGAGAATTACGCAGAGGCCTACAAGCAGCTTGTGCTAAGACCCCACCGGGTAAGCACGGAGATACTAGAACGCAATGACGGGAGCTTCAAGTCAATCTACCCACCAATAGTCAACCCGCAGGCAGGCGTACATTACGCAGGCAACCGAGAGCCGCAGCGTGCTCGCTGCAGGTGCTGTGGCAGAGAAGGGCACATTATCGCGAATTGTCCGGACCAGAACCTTCTGAAGAGTAATCGGTGGTGCCACACCCGGAGCGAGGAGCAACCGAATGGCTGGAAGCAAGTCCGGTACTACTTCGGACCCTACCCGACAGACATCTGGGGCATGTTCCCTGGCGGAGGCATTGCGCCGAAACCCTTTGGGAGTGAGGTTCTCGAGTGGCTACTTCAGTCTTTAAAGGAGCGTTTCAAGGTGACCGATGACCAACTAAAGCGGCCCATGCAAGAAGTTCTCCCAAATTGGTTCGACGCAGCAGGAAGGCCTATTAAGGTTGAAAAGACTGGTAACAGCGGCGAGAGCTACACAGTAGAGTCAAGCGAGGAAGCGGAGCTGATGGCGAGGCAAACGATGGCCCTTCGGTCAGCTGCGCAGTTCCTTGAAACCGTGTCTTGTAGAGTACTGCACCCCGAAGACGACTCGGAAGTCAACGCCATAGATGGGCGCACGAAGGCTGGTCGACTGGCGAAAGAACAGTGGGAGCGTGAAGCTCGCCTTGGTAAGAAGCCAGGCATGCCTCGGATGAAGAGCAGTCGGACCGCGAGCAGCTATGAAGACATGGACGTCGAAGAGGAGCCAGAGGTGCTAAGGCATAGAGCCCAAGTAGAGATCGACGACTCCCAGGTGCCTGAAACTCAGGTTCAACAACGTCTTGACACTCCGATAAGCAACGGGACGCGCGAGAGAGACAGTCGGAGCGCCACAGTGGACCACGATGTTATACCTGCACCAGCGCCTGTTCCGAAAGCCTCTCGAGCCTTCGCACCTGTGACCATACCGACGACCGAAGACCTTGCGGCGATGGCCCAGAACACAGCACCGACGGTACTTGCAAAGGCAATGTTAAACCAGGAAGTCCGCGGGATCCGGCAGCTCGATTTATTAGCGTCTCCCGAAGTAGCTGCGGCAGTGACCAAAGCACTCGAGGAAGCGCGTAGGCCGCGTGTGCACTTTCAGGTTGACGAAACGCGCTCAGGAGAGACAATGGAGATCCAACAAGCTAATAATAATAAATCTGATGACGAAAAAGCTGATAGTGATGAAGATGGTTCGATAGAAGAGGCAGTCCAGCGATTATATGACTGGGGTTCTGGAGATACTTGTGTGGTGGAGACTGAGAGCTCTCAACCGGAGGTTATTACGAAAGGTATTCTGACGCAGCTGTGTCCGAAGATGGATCGCAGCCGAAAAATTGACCGAGTGGGAGTCGGGGAAGCCAATGAGCTCCACGATTTCCAAAACTACGAGATTAGTGACGAGGAAGACGGCTACGTCGAAGCGCAATCGAGAATGCCCTCCGAAGCGCGACTAAAGGGCGAGTTACAGCAGCAGCGGTATTCGGTGAAAGGACAGTTGCCGACATGCTGGGTGTCTCTCCACGGTGGTATGGGTCGAGCGCTTATTGACACGGGCTCGCAGCTGAACGTTATGCGGCTTTCGACAGCGAGAGCGCTGAATGTCTACATTACTGAGCTAGATCAGTCGGGTCTGCCTCCCGAATTGCAGCAGGGCATGATAACCGCCGATGGAGGGATGGACCCCTTTGTAGGCACAGCTTATTCGGTTCCAATTGCAGTTGGAGGGATTATAGTGCCAACGCACTTTCGGATTGTGAGACGTTTACGGAGAGCAATTCTTCTTGGGACACCATGGTGCGCAACGGCGCGTCTCCAGATACAGTTCGACACTGTTGGTCGGACACTTTGCTACATCAAGTCGATGGACGGTCGGCGTGAAGTTTCTTTTATAGGGTGTGACCCAGCGCCTACAGCCAACGCGGCGTCGATTGAGCATCAGGGAAAAGGATAGCGAGCGCGCTTACTGGGGAAGTGTGCTCGGCGGAGGAGTATTGCCCAGAACTTATACCGAGTGACATGCGGGTAGCGCGCTGGTTTGCGCGCATGCCTGAGTACAGATGGTTGTTCGGGGAAGAGCTGGACCGCCGGGAAGGGGGAAAGTCGGGGCAGGTGTTGTCAGCGGAGGAGCAGAGGTCCTTCGAGGAGATAGTAAGGCAGCAGTTTCGTCTGTCGCGTGACAGGTTATCGGGGGAAGTAAATACCCTGTACAAGAGAGTCGCCGATAAAGTAAAGCCTGTGGACATACCGAGAGAAGACGCACCGATGGATCTCGGGCGTAAGGACTGGAAGGAGCGCGCAATAGCTCGTCAAGCCGCTCGAATAGCACTCAGAGGACCGGACATTGGCCCATTTGATCACCTTTTCTATGTCCGTACAGCAACGTTTCCGAGAGGGCATCGGTTAAACCCGGAGCGTCTTCGAAAGATGAATATTGGCGAAGATCTCCGTCCGAATGAGGTTCACTTAATCCA